GAAATTGTGGCCTGGAGAGGTTAAATGAAAGACGTGAGGTCTTGCAATTAGTGTCAGAGCTGGGACTAGAACCTACCACCTCATTCTGACAGCAGTGCTTCTTCGTCTAAGAGGAATTGGCCACCTGGGAAGCAGAGCTCCCTTCTTGTGAGATAGTACACTAGCCACTCTCCCATTTCAAGGCAGTAGTAACAGCTCATCACAAATTGCTGCAATGTTTTAATACTGCTCTAGATTTCCTTGGATATTGAATAGGTTTCTGGCCATGCTCCCAACCCTTATCCATTAGTGCTTGTTCATGCAATGCAAAAAAATTTTAATAGGACTCCAGAAAAGTCTTGACATAGTTTACCTCCTGCCTTCTTAATCCCTCTCTGCCTTCACTTTCCAAGTGTCCTAGGTGTTTCAAAGGCCAGCAGGACAAGCCAACCCCCGGAGACCTAGTCACCTGACTGCTTGTTGCTGCGGTTCCCTAGCAGCCAGAAAGCTGCAGGGTTAGGTTTGTGGATTGACAGTGCACTGTTCTAATTACTAAATATTTGTTTGACATTATTGACTTTTTTATGGCAGTTAAAAAACAATCTCAGTATTATCAAGATACCTTAGTGTAATGCAATGAAAGTTGAGATTGACAAACATTGTGGCCTTTCATCTAGATGACATTAGGATTGACTTCATATTACTTGTCTTTAGGCAATAGAACAATCAGTTTAAATAAGAACATATATTCAAGTCTTAACATGCTTTTAAATATATTAAATAGCTTCCGAAAACATTTACTTAAAAATATGTCAATAATTAGCTTTGTATAAATAAAGCTGCTTTGGAAATTTCTTTCTCCTGTGATATTTAAACAAAATAGAATAATTAGTGTTCTATTTTAGGGAGTGATTTCTCTTTTTTTCCATTAGAATATTTTTTCCTCTGGAATCGGAAACAATGGGTTATGGAGTAATGTGTTGCCATGGGAGAATCTTATTTAAATCTCTGTGTTCTTTGGAAGCCCTCAGTTCCTTGCCATGGAAGAATCTTTTTAAAATCTCTGTGCTCTTTGGAAGCCCTCTGTTCCTTTACATCTTGAATCTTCTGGCTCTCTACTTCTTTTACTTTTATTTTTGGCTACCAAGCATTTGCCAGCTCTTTGTGTTGTTGCTGAATTCCTGGCTCCCCGGTTGACCTCTGAGTTCTCAAGCTGCTAAAGATATTTAGCACAAACTTAGAGCGATCACTTAGAGAAAAGTCTTTTATTTCTCCCTGCCAGGAAGGTAGAAAACAGTTCAAAACAACAGGACATCTTCCTGGCTTTAGTGACATTTGAGAAAAGTTTTAAATTTACTTTTATTTGATGTTTATGGAGTGTGTATTTTATGTCAGGACCTATGTTAGTTCCTTTTTAAAGAAATGGTGAGAAAACAGGTAGATTATCTGTTTTTTAAACCTGAATCCTGCCTCCTCTTGCCACCTCCCCAGCAAAGTTGTCTCTCAGATAGGTAGTCCTTCAAGTTCAGAGAAATGTATGTCAATTTTATAGGTCTAGCAGTAACCTTTCAATTGCTCTGAAATCTCCAACTTTTTCATCTCTACTTTTCCATAATTCTTTTGTACCTTAAAAAATTCTTCCTTGACTCTAAATTTTCCTCTCTATTACTACCACACCCTATTCCTTTATAGTCAAGTTTCTGGGAAGAGTAGTTAATATTCAGCATTTTAATATTTCTTTTTCCAATCATGCTTTTCTCAAGTCTATATTTATTTCTGTCCAACCAATGAAATTATTCTAACAAAATTACTCTGTTATTTATTTTTGCATTACAAACCATACCAAAACTTAAGGGCCTGAAGCAGAAACAATCATCTGTTATCTCTCTTAATTCTGTGAGTGACTGGGCTCTGCTGGGTGGTTCTTCTGCAGGTGCCATTGGCTGGCTTGCTGTCATCTGTAGGGGAAACTTAGGTTGGAACATCCAAGACAGCTTACTTAGATGGCTGAAAGTTGGTGCTGGAGTCAGCTAGAAGGTCAGAAGGTGCCATTGACCAGAACGTTTTGTTCTCCGTGTGGTCTCCCTACGTGACTGAGTTCTGAGGAAACATTCTAAGTGCAAAGGCAGAAGGTGAAGATCTCTTAAGAACTAGCCTAGGAAATTCCATCTCATTTACCCTCAGATTTTTTTTGGTGAAAACTGGCCAGAGGGCTAGCCAAATTCAAGGGGAGGGGGAATACATCTATTTCTTGACAGATTAGTGGCACAGTCACACTGCAAAAGAGCTATAAGAAGCCACAACCATCCTGTAAAAATAATGCTTAAAGATATCCTAATTAACCCAACCAATCCTGTATAGCATTGTTGCTATTGGTCACTCTCCATGATTTATTGATGCTGCGGTTTCTTGGTTTCCTTCCTATCTCTTTGCACATTCATCCTTAGTTAGTTTTTTTTTTTTTTTTTTTGAGGTGGAGTCTCGTTCTGTCACCCAGGCTGGGGTGCAATGGCATGATCTCGGCTCACTGCAGCCTCTGCTTCCTGGGTTCAAGTGATTCTCCTCCCTCATCCTCCAGAGGAGCTAGGATTACAGGCATGTGCCACCTTGCCTGGCTAATTTTTGTATTTTAATAGAGACAGGGTTTCACCATGTTGGCCAGGCTGGTCTTGAACTCCTGAGCTCAGGTGATCTGCCCACCTTGGCATCCCAAAGTGCTGGGATTACAGGCATGAGCCACTGCCCCCAGCCTCATCCTTAGCTTTCTTGATTTGCACTTCTTTTTCTCCTTGCTCCTGGGATACTGGTGGTCCCCAATTTTCTTCACTTTTTTGTGTTTTCATTTCCATATGTTTGTTAGAAAATCATGTCTGCACTCATGGTTTAAACTTTGATTTATTCATTCATTTGACAAATATTTATTGAATGCACACACCATCTGCTGGTTGAAAGAGCTGTTGATGTACTTTTGCAGGTTCTGTACTGCACAACTGCAACAGGTACCACATTGTTTTCACACTGATTGACATTGTAGCTTTTATATTGACCGTCTTCTCTATGTCTATGTCTATATGTGCCTGTGTCTATATCTATATATATGTCTGTATCATATCAGTGGTTCTCAACAGGGGAGGTTATTTTGTCCCACAGGTGCCATTTGGCAATGTCTAGAGACATTTTTTATTCTCACGAGTCGGTGGTGGGGGCTACTGGGACCTAGAAGTTGGAGACCAAAGGCACTGCTAAAACCTCACATCACACAGGACTGCCCCTCACAACAACAATGGTCTATCTCATAAAGTCATTGTGCTGAATTGAGAACCTGCATGTTATCTGTATCTGCAGTGCCATTTCCCCTTGAACATTTCCAGTGGCCTGTCTGCCTCGTCCACCTGTGTATTGACTCACCTCAAAATCTTACACATCCAAAAGCCGAACTTATGATTGTGTTGCTTCAACCTGTTCCTCTTGATGAACCCAGTGTCTGGGAATGCCACCATTACCCACCAGACTGCCTCTGGGCATGCATTGCATCAGCCCACTTTCCACACTACTGTTAGAATGATGGATTTTTCAATGCTGCACAGGCAGCTAAACACCTGTTTCTTCTGATTTGAAAATCATCAGTGATTCTCCATGGATTTCACATAACAGTTAAACTTTGTAATGTGGTTCAGAAAATATTTGTGATCTGACTTTTTTTTCATTTCCTGTTATGTTTTCCTAGTCCTTTTTAGTTCACCCATCCTGGCTGCCTTGTGGTTTTCAGAATGTGCTTTCGTGTGCCTCTCGGCCTTTGTGTATGCAGAAAGGCAACTGTCCTAGAAGTATGACCAACCCTCCTTCAATGCTAGGCTTGAGCCACCTCCTCCTGAAAGCTTTCCTGTCATCCCCACCCCCACCCCTTATCAACTCCAGGCTAGAGTGGGAGATCCTTCTTTTTACTCCTTCTCTGAAGACCTATAAATGCCCCTGCATTTGGAGACCCATAAATCTGATGCCCCTGTGGCAACCGCCATGACATCTGTCATATTTAAATTTTCAGCTCACATCCTGCCAGCCAGGCCATGAGCTTTTTTGAAGTTACCAGGTAGTGTTGTCCTCTTCAGTGCTGGCACGTATTAGGGGTTTAACAAATGTTTGTTGATTAAAAGAAGGGATCCAGAGGGTCCACTTTTCCTCTTCCCAGTGGGAGCTACTGGTTGGCATTAAAGGTAATGTATTATTCCAAGAAGGAATTGGAAGCCGAGTGTCTACCATTGTCAAAATAATTGAATAAATTATGGTACATTCATACTGAATATTTTTGCAGCTATTACAGAGGATGGAATAGTCTGTATTAAACTAGAAAGAAGTCGGTGATGTATTGTTAAGGGAAAAATGCATGAAAACATTTTATAGTATGATGTAAATATAGGTGTGGGCATATGTTTGAATATGATTGTATGAGCATAGAGCATAAGGAAAGACATCCTTCAAACTGCCAACATCGGTTACATTAAGCATGCCTTATTCTCATAATTAACAATTAATAGTTAAAGAGCAAGCAATGGCATTCAGAAGTTAATTTGAAGACCAAATATATAGCTGTAGGTAAATAATAAAGATAGGACATACTGTAGAAAAATATTACTTTAATGGCTTAGGAAAATGTTTATAAAAATGGTGATCTCTTTTTTTTTTTTTTTGGTATTCTGTTGAATGCTTATATATGCATAGAAATAAGTGTGTAAAGATTTAGAACAAAATGTTAACAGTAATAATTTCTGGATGGCAGAGGATTTTTCTCTCTTTTGGCTTCTCTGTATTATGCAATTTCAAAACAATGAGCATGCTTTATTTTCATAAGAGAAATAAATTATTTCTAAAAATAGAAGATAGTACATAAAAATTGGTACCATTAAGCTGTCTGTTATCTGGATACCTAAGACTTGAAAAACAACAATTGTATGAAATTATTACAAAATGAATCCACTTGAGAACAGCAGTTTCCAGGTAACATTTTTATTCTTTTCTTTTAGCAAAGACTGAAGGAAGAGAAGGAAGCCAAGCGGGCTCTTTTGGATGGGAGGCATAACTACTTATTTGCAATTGTGGCTTCCTGTTTGGACCTGAACAAAACCGAAGTGGAGGATGCCGTTCTTGAAGGGGATCAGGTGGGATGCATTTGACTTCTCACTGACTTGATTATAGAGGGCACAGATGGTCTGTTGACGTGGTCCTGTGGCAAGATCCCATGCTGTGCCCAGAGGGAGGTGCCTGTCTTAACGTGGACAGGGCTCCATTCTGACTGTACTGGTGCTTGCAGAATGAGCTTAAGGCTCTCCAGCTCTCCATGTTCAATAGGGGCACTTCTAATTGTCATTTGACTTCCGTGATTCTGACGGCATTGTCTGCATCTCTCTACGTCCAGTGAAGCTGGGCTCTCATGCCATTTTGGAAGCTAAAGTCGGGGAACAGAATCTCCTCTTAAGTTGCCAATTCATCTTTTGTGCATTTCTTCTGTTCTAGGCACTGGATTTGTGCCATGATTTTTTGGCTTTTACTTTGGTTTGGCAGCTGAACCTGCTTTCTTTTGTTCCTAACCTTGGTTCCCATCTTCTGCTACAATTTTTCTTTAAAACCAGGCGTATGATTTGCTTTGTGTTTGACCTTGGTTGGGAAAGGCCAAAATATGGGAAGATGTAATTTCCTGGGCAGTGAAAAAAGCGTATAAACAGTCGTATGATGATTCCTGAAGATTTTTTGAAGAAACTAATTAGACATTAGAAAAAAAAAAAGAAATAAGGCAAGCCCTTTTTGTTGACAGGGTACCACACTGTTGGGAATTCTTTTCAGTGGTAGGCTTGTAAATGTTAACAACTGACTTTGGGCAAGGATGGAGGAAGTAGGCAGGGAGGTACTGGTTTGAGCATCTGCTAATTTCTGTGGTGTAAATACTTCCACAATGGCTGATTCCAAACTACTATCATCATGTTACGAAATGCTGAGGTGGAAAGAGTTGTGATCCATTGGATATCCTGGGCCAGTACGAGCCATCTGTGGCACACCGCTGGCTTCATTCCTTCTTGCTGGGCTGCTCTGGTGGGGTTAGTAGGAGTTGGGGAACAATTAAGAATGGATAACACGAAAATGGGTAAACTACAGTATGGATCAAGCAGGAGCTGAGGAAATGTGCTTCTCCTCTTTCTCCTCATAGCTGACACTTATTGAATGTTTACCATGTGTCCGTCCCTGTTCTCAATCCCTTTCATCTATGACTTCATTTCCATCTTCATAATATCAGAAGGTAGATAATATTATTCCCAGAATATGGAGGCATAAAAGCAGAGAGGGCCACTTGGGGAGATTGTTCCAGAGGTGAAATGCTTAACTCCACCCTGCTTCCCAATTTAGACATCTGGATTTGGGAATATGCAAGGGGAAGAAGCAGGCAAAAGTTCAGCTCTGTAGGGATCCCAGGATAAACTGCTATGTCAAGCTCACAACCCAGGAATCTCAGAACCTGGAGGTTTAAAGAAAGCATCTGGCTCAGGCTGTCAAGCACAGACGAGAGGGATAGGAGCTTCAATACTGGCTGTGATGGAAGCATGCCCTTCACCACATTCTTGGCCTGGAATTGAATCTTGGGGAGTCCTTCCTCCTCTTCCCTGTGGCATCTTCAATCATGGTGGAAATTGAAGGGGTTTTATTTTTCACACTTAATTGTTCAGGCTAGATTTTATCCTTTAAAAACATTATTTTAAGACGTAGTAAATACACATAACAAAATTCACCATCTTATCCATTTTAAGTATACAGTTCATTAGTGTTAAGTACATTCACATTACTGTGCAACAGATCTTCAGAACGCCTTTTATCACAAAAACAAACTCTGTACCCATTAAACTACCATTCCACATTCCTCCTTCTCTCCAGCCCCTGACAATCCCCTCATTCTACTTTTTGTCTCTAGGAATTAGACTATTCCATAGATACCTCATGCAAATGGAGGCATGCAGTATTGGTCTTTTTGTGATTATCTTATTTCACTTAGTGTAAGATTTGCAAGGTTCATCCATGTTGTAATGCGTGCCAGGATTTCCCTCCTTGTTAAGGCTGGATTATATTCCCTTGTATATGTATACCATATTTTGTTTATCCCTTTATCTGTCACTTTCACCTTTTGTGGAAGCTATTGTGAATAATGCTACTATGAACATGGGTATACAAATATCTCTTTGAGACCCCGCTTTCAATTCTTTGGAATATATACCCAGAAGTGGAGTTCCTGGATCATGTGGCAATTCTATTTTTGGTTTTTCTAAGGCGCCTTCATCCTGTTTTCCACAATGGCTGCACCATTTACATTCCTACCAATAGTGCTCAAGCGTTCCAGTTTCTCCATGTCCTCACCAGCACTTGCTATTTTCTGTTTTTTGGTGGTAGCCATCCTAATGCTTAATGGGTGTGTAGATTTTATCTTTTTATTTTCATATGAGTTCCAAACTGTGCCACTGACTATTTAAGAGAAGTGTTTCTATTGGTAGCAGACCCTTTGTTAGGCTTGTAGACTTAAGTGAGCCTCAGGGATGGGACTGTTAGTCCCAGTTTAGTGCCAGGTTGCTACTGGAAGGTGTGTTCATAGTCAGATACGTTCTCATGGCAGTTTTGGTGATTATTGCAATTTAATATTCATTTTCTCTAGGGTGTTAGACTAAGTTTTGAAAGGTTTGTTTTTGCTTATCTGCAGTTGACTGAAGCACTCTTCTCTATTTAAACCTCCCTTCCACAGCTCAACACTTTAGGAAATTTGCAAATATGGGTGGACAATGCTTTTCAAATGTGCATAAGTAGCAAAGAGTTCTAAGATTCATGAAATTACTTTTTTGAACAGAGTCTTTGCTATGGTGAGACATTTATTCTTTTAACATAAATGCTTCCTTTTTTATAGGATACATTAGATGCTGTCCTGTTTGAATATGAAAGATAACAGTACATTTTCCTTTTTTATATTATTAATTCTGATTTAAGTGCAGTTTCTAATTTGGATTGAAAGTCATTATCTTGCCTTTTTCTTTTTCCCAGATTGAAAGAATTGATCAACTTTTTGCTGTTGGAGGTCTCCGACACCTCATGTTTTACTATCAAGATGTGGAGGAAGCAGAAACAGGTATCTGAATTTGATGTGACATGACCCAGAAATGTGTCATTAGATTTATCTGAGAGTAGCTTGAAGAAGAAAGCCACTGTGAGAATGGACCTGTTTCACCTTGCGGGCGTGAAGGAGGTGTATGTGTGGGTCCATGTGGGAAACCATTAGTGTGTTGGGTGTGGCCCTGTGGAAAAAGTTCTGTTTCACCTCAAGGATGGAGACAGATTACAGTTGGTATTTAGCCTGGTTGTGCTAACTTTATTGGAGATGTTTTGTTTTCCTTCTCAGGCTGTACTTGCAATAAAGATAATAAAGTAGATTACGTTTGATTTCCTTTTCTTATATTCTAGTTCATTCTGTGTTTTATGGTCTGGAAATTATAATGAGCACCTGTTTTGCAGGTATATAGGCATTCTTTTTTTTTTTTTTGAGACGGAGTCTCGATCTGTTGCCTAGGCTGGAGTGCAGTGACGTGATCTCGGCTCACTAAAAATTCCACCTATCAGGTTCACCCCATTCTCCTACCTCAGCCTCCCAAGTAGCTGGGACTACAGGCTACTCGGGATGTTTTGTATTTTTTTTGTATTTTTTAGTAGAGATGGAGTTTCACCGTGTTAGCCAGGATGGTCTTGATCTCTTGACCTCGTGATCCACCTGCCTTGGCCTCCCAAAGTGCTGGGATTATAGGCATTATTTCTTTTTAGCATAGGAATTGTTGCCAGTATGTGTAACACCCCTTTTTAGTTAGATATCACATTTTGTTTATTTTCTACTGACTGCTTTAAATAAGTAATATTGGATGACAGTTTTCATTGTTCTCATTTATGAAAAATTTGCAAATCTTTTTTTCTTTGTCGTTGTTATTTTGTTGTTTGTTTGTTTTGAGACAGAGTCTCACTCTGTCACCAGGCTGGAGTGCAGTGGTGCGATCTTGGCTCCCTGCAACCTCCACCTCCTGGGGTTCAAGCAGTTCTCCTGCCTCAGCCTCCCAAAGTACAGTCCCAGCCTGCAGCTGGGACTACAGGTGTGCGCCACCATGCCCACCTAATTTTTGTATTTTTAGTAGAGATGGGGTTTCAGCATGTTGGCTAGGATGGTCTCAATCTCTTGACCTCGTGATCTGCCCTCCCCAGCCTCCTAAAGTGCTGGGATCATAGGTGCAAGCCACCGTGCCTGGCCCAGATTTGCAAATCTTTCTATGGATTCAACTGGCATAGTCTAGTCTATTTTTAAGTGGATTAATGTAATTTTAAACGCCTACCTAGAAACATAAGTCAATATCTGATTAAATGTATTATTTGATATATTAAACTATTATATACATACTTTTTATGACCCATTTGATAAAAGGGAAAATAGTTATTGCTCTTGGCATATAGTAAGACTATACTTCTTTGTTTAAAAACTGAGGAAATTATGCATGCAAATTCGAACTGGCATTTTCTCAAAGCTGTCAGTTTGATATTTTAGAAAGCTTAGAAAACTTATTACATTTTGAGTGAAAAATCAAGAGATAGAAGTTTTGGTTTCTACACCAGATTGCAAAACATAAGCTCAAATGAAAGATCAAGTTTATCCATGAACGGAACACTGGATGAAACTGACCTTCTGTGTAAATTTTGCTTGGACCAAGAAGTGTTCATAGGATGTAAACATAAAAGCAAGTTTAACCTTTAACTCTTCTCACTGGTGATAGTTCTTCTTCTGAACTTGGATTAGAATGCAGGCAATCTCATGACTTTCCTGGACATTCTTAGATTACAAAAATGTCTATAGTCATTTCAAATTACGAACACAATGTCAACTCAAAAAGAAAAACTGTCCAGTTGATGGAAAGTGAAATATTCTTCCCTCCTCACCCTTGAGTCCCCCATTTCTCTGAAGGTTGAAGTTCTCAGTGGGAGAAGAGGGAGGACCATGTGCTCTTCTCCATACCTTCATCTTCCACCCCTTGTCCACATCAGCTTAACTAAAGGGCCTGACTGTGTGAGGCCAGAGGCAGGGCAGAGGTAAGAGGGAAGGGGGTCAGGAAAGTTTTTACTGGACTGGCACTGTCATGAGCTGCTGATCTTGCACTCTTACCTTGCTCTTGTGGGCACAGTGGTGGGTTCTCCTGAGGTGACAGGCTGTCCTGATGATGATAGCCTCTGAAATTTGGTAGTGTAAGTCTCGCTCACTCTGTCCCATCCTCCCTCAGGTGCTCCTTTTGAGTAGGATTTAAGGTGGCTTCAGTCTGGATCTTTTCAGCAGTGCCCCCACCTGGGTTCCTAGGTCCCTGCCCTCCATGCATGTCGTGCTGTTAGCTCCCAGTACAGTCCAGTTTCTCTCTATATGCCTTATTGAGCACTGTGCTTAGATTTCTTGGTCAGGTGTCATATCACAGTCATTTTGTTCCTAAACTCCAGGAGACATAAATCAAGCTCTTTAGGTGGTTGGGTTGAACACCTTGTTTCCTGACTGGAGTCACTGACTGCTGAGTGTAACACTGAAAGTCCCGCATCCCAGGAAACCCCCGTGTCCTGGGCAAGCTGGGACAGTTGCAATCTCATTCTTGACCTGAGGTAAAAGTAGGAACACTTTATAACCTCACCCTTTGCATAGCATGATATGGTTTGGCTTCGTGTCCCCACCCAAATCTCATCTTGAATTGTAACTCCCACAATTCCCACGTGTCATGCTAGGAAGCTTGTGGGAGGTGATTGAATTATGGGGGCAGGTCTTTCCTGTGCTGTTCTGGTGATAGTGAATATGTCTCACGAGATGTGATAGTTTGATAAGGGGAAACACATTTCGCTTGGGTCTTATCCTCTCTTTACCTGCTGCCATTCATGTAAGATGTGACTTGCTCCTCCTTGCCTTCCACTATGATTGTGAGGCTTCCCCAGCCACGTGGAACTGTAAGTCCAATTAAACCTCTTTCTTTTGTAAATTGTCCAGTCTCAGGTATGTCTCCATCAGCAGCATGAAAACGGACTAATACTTAGCATAACTGTCCTCACAAAATCCTTCCTTAGTCTACACACTCTTGACCTTTTTGCATTCTGATGGGGGCCAGGGAGAAGATGTCTCAATCAGTTCTAGGACAACCACTTTGAAATTTCTGCAGAATTTTCTTTTTCCTTTGAAACTCTGTTTTCTGATGTCTGTCATGCCTTGGTGCCTTGGTTGAAACTTGTTGCCTAACATCTTATTACTCATGAGACCCAGGTGGTATTAGCCAGGAGTGGGATGCAATTTTGAATGAGGGGGAGATTGATCTACTAGTTACCTTTAATGAGGGCTCACTGTCCAAGCCCATGTCAAGGTCTCTAGCCTAGCACCATGGGAGGATGATCCCTGAGGGAGGGTTACTCCAAGAGGTTCCAATCCCAGGATTTTAGGATTCAACTTCTGGTCCACTCCCCATCCCAAAGTCCACCATTAGCATCATCCTCCCACCCCAGTGATCCTGATTGAGCTACCAGTCCATTTGGAGATCTAAACACTTCTTAGACAGGTTAAAACATAAAGGAATAGCTCAGAGTATATTCTATGTACTGAAATATCTACTCAGTGAGCCACATGCTTGGATAATCAAAGATGACTGTTCAAATACTAATAATAAGGCTTACAGAGGCTAATATTCTTATATGCTTTTCTAAGGGCTTTATACAGTGTGTTGATTTTCACAACAATTTCAGATGCTAAGTTCTAGAAGTTCTAGTATCATTCTTTTTTTTGAGATGGAGTTTCACTCTTGTTGCTCAGGCTGGAGTACAATGGCATGATCTTGGCTCACCATAACCTCCAGCTCCCGGGTTCAAGTGATTCTTCTGCCTCAGTCTCCTGAGTAGCTGGGATTACAGGCATGCACCACCACACTGGCTAATTTTGTATTTTTAGTAGACACGGGGTTTCTCCATGTTGATCAGGCTGGTCTCGAACTCCCGACCTTAAGTGATCCCCCCACCTCGGTCTCCCAAAGTGCTGGGATTACAAGCATGAGCCACCGCGCCTGGCCATATTGTTCTCATTTTTAAGATAAGAAGATGAGAAAACGGAGGCACAGAAAGATAAAGTAACTTGCCAAGGTCACACGGCTGGGAGCGCAGCCTGAGATTGAAGTTCTGAGAGTCTGACTCTAGAGCCCACGCTGTTAATCCTACCTCTGCAAGACCCTGACTCCAGCAGTATTTGAAAGATAACCTAGTATGCTGACTATGACAGAGTAGGGACAGCATGGGGAAGTGGGGTCCTGAGTTTTGTAGTCAGAGCAGGTTTTTGACCTTGGCTCTGCCACCTATTGGCTGTTTGACTTGGAACATGTCACAGCTCCCTCAGAGCTGTTTTTGTTTTTGTTTTTGAGACTGAGTTTCGCTCTGTTGCCCAGGCTGAAGTGCAGTGGCGTGATCTCTGCCCACTGCAACCTCCGCCTCCTGGGTTCAAGTGATTCTCCTGCCTCAGCCTCCCAAGAAGCTGGGATTACTGGTGCCAATGACCACACCCAGCTAATTTTTGTATTTTTAGTAGAGACAGGGTTTCATCACATTGGACAGGCTGGTCTTGAACTCGTGACCTCAGGCGATCCACCTGCCTCGGCCTCTCAAAGTGCTGGGATTATAGGCGTGAGCCACTGCACCCAGCTGGGTTGTGAGTTTTAATAATGTACACAGCGTACCTAGCAGAGGGTCTGGAACACAGTACATGCCAGTAGATACTTTGTCCTCCTTCCCTCTTTTCACTGCCCCCAAACAACAATTTTGAAGTGAACCTATGATCTGGAATCAAACAGACTTTTTTAGATCCCTGTAGGGCTCATGCTAGAGATTGTTCAAGAGGTGGACCCATCTAAGGCACATGGACAAGTCAACAGTGGCAATATTTTAACGAGAAAGTTCATTCCAAAGGCAACCACATGGACTGTGAAAAGCATTTGTGAAACTGAAATTATTTTGCTTTTGTAGGACAACTTGGCTCTCTAGGAGGGGTAAATCTTGTTTCTGGAAAGATTAAAAAACCTAAGGTGTTCGTGACCGAGGGAAAAGATGTGGCTCTTACTGGGGTATGTGTGTTCTTCATCAGGACTGACCCTTCCAAAGCCATCACCCCTGACAACATCCACCGGGTAAGGGGCAAGAGCCATTGTTTACTCTGAATTACCAAAAAACACACAACTTGCACACAAATATTCCTCCGGTGGAGACAATCATAGTATATTCACTACAGTATCTAAGACTACTTTCAGAGAAGTATTTTTTAAAATTTTAAAGCAAGAAATTAAGAGGACATTCCCTTTAAATCTTTTGAGTAAGAGGACTTAATATTCAATTTATTAACACCAGTTGATATAACCTTCTGGGTGTGTGTATAACAGTGAAGGCTTTCTTTTTCTAAAGGATTCCCCATGCATGATTTACTTAATGGCAAATTTTATACATTTAAGTTAAGATTTCTGAAAGTGGATATATAACTTTATTTTTTTTGTGCAAAGTAAAGTGCATCTGTACAAGTTTTCCCCTTCCCTCTGATGGGTATACTATCTTCTTGGAGCAAATAAACTGATAAACATCTGGTATTCTATTTATTTCATGCTTTTATTTTGATGATTACAATTTAGAATAGTATAAAGGTTATTTCTTAACAAGGTTGTCAAACTAATTTTTTTATTTTTATTTTTATTTATATATTTTTTTTCCCTGAGACAGGGTCTTGCTCTGTCACCTGAGTTGGAGTGCAGTGGCACCATCTTGGCTCACTGCAGCCTCCGCCTCCTGGGTTCAAGCAAGGCTTCCTGCCTCAGCCTCCTGAGTAGCTGGGATTACAGGTGCACGCCACCAAGGCTGGCTAATTTTTGTATTTTTAATAGAGATGGGGTTTCACCATATTGCCCAGGCTGGTCTTGAATGCCTGACCTCAAGTGATCCCCCCACCTCAACCTCCTAAAGTGCTGAGGTTACAGGTGTGAGCCACCACACTCGTCACAAACTAATAATTTACTGGGTATTTGGTAAAGTGACAACATTTAAGAAATGACTTAGTAGCTGTGTTGCTTTTGAGGATCATTTTTACAATAGAAGATCTCCTGCTTGTTTTCCAGGAGGTGAGTTTTAACATGTTAGATGCGGCAGATGGAGGCCTGCTCAACAGCGTGAGACGTTTGCTGTCCGACATCTTCATTCCTGCTCTCAGAGCCACGAGCCATGGCTGGGGTGAGCTCGAGGGCCTTCAGGACGCAGCTAACATTCGGCAGGAGTTCTTGAGCTCCCTGGAAGGCTTTGTGAACGTCCTGTCGGGTGCACAGGAGAGTTTGAAGGAGAAGGTGAGGATGAATAAGCTGTTCCTTTAAAAATGATCAGGTGGTCAACAGGCACAGTACCTAAGTGTGTAATGCTTCTCTTGGATGGTCTTAATTCCTCTATGTTGCAGTTCTTCAAAAATTTTGGTAGGCAATTTTATTGCTCCCTCAAGACGTGGTGGTGATTAGATTTAAATTTCTACAGTTTATAATGATCAACACATTCAGGGGTTTCATAAAAACGTTGGCAGTGATGTAGGGCTTTACCCGGTCAGTCAGATGAGTGTCTCCAAAGGTAAGAGTCAGAAATGCTTGTGGCACTGCTGTGCATCCTAGAATGAAAGGAATTTGGAACCGAAGTGTCTGTGTGTGTGTGGTGGGCAGCAGATGGAGGTGGGAAGAGATCCTGAAGAAACAGAAGAAGGAAAGAGGAACTGATATGTTTGGAGAGAGCAAGTTGGATCCTGTGGTTCAGTCAATGATCAAAAGGGCCTTTAAGAATAATTTTGGCAAATGTGAGATTTAGCTTCTGTATGATTTGTGCTGTTTATAATAAGTCTGTGTTTGTGATTACTTGGGGCAGAGGTTGAGGGATGCATGCATGCGTGTGTGTGTGTGTGTGTGTGTGTGTGAGTGAGAGAGGGATAAAGATAGAGTGAGAGCGTGAGAGATTGAGAGAGAGAGAGAAAGAGAGAGAGAGAGAGAGAAGACAAGGGAATAAGAGAGACGACAGAGCCCAGATCAGGCATGTAGGGGCAGGTAGGGAAATGGATCCTATGGTCATGATGACAGTGTGACACTCTGCCCTCCTTTCCCGGGAATGCTGATTCTGCTGGGATTGGGGAAGGCGCATTATGCTTTCCAAAGGATGTAGAATGGGGGAGTTAAGCAAATTTTATCCAGACAGACACAGGATGACTCCAGTTAACACCCGCATTATATTTGTGATTAACTGTGATGGAGGCCAGACCAAAATGCAGGTTGGACCAAATAAAATTGTTGACATTCTGTGGAAAAAAGCAGTGTTTTTTCTCATATGGGTCCACTTCATACTGCAATAAAAGTATTAACAAAATAGGATGGGTCCCCAGGTGGGAGGAGGCATTCTTTCTGAGTGGGAGAGGGCAGCGGGCTTTGGGTTGAATTGTGAGGGTGTGTAGGATCACAGGGAAGTGTTGGAAGGTTCCGTCAGTCTCGCGGCAGCGTGGACAAAGGCACGTGGGAGTGGAGAGGTGCTACCCGATGGGCTTTCCAGAGCGCTGTCAGAGTGCAGCAAAGTGGAAAACACAGGGCCCATGGTCTGTGTGTTTTACAAAAGCATCATCTTATTATTTAATTTTCATTCTAATTAGGTGAATCTTCAAAAGTGTGACATACTTGACCTGAAAAACCTAAAGGAACCTACGGACTACTTGACTCTAGCAAATAACCCTGAGACCTTGGCAAAAATAGAGGATTGTATGAAAGTATGGATCAAACAGACAGAACAGGTAATTTTGAGAAACCAAACATCAATTTCAGGTGCCACGTTACTTCACTAGACAGTGGAAGAAGGTGGATTCACATACGACGTTCCATTTGTTAAGAGTTTTACTGTAAATTTGTGAGGAGGTGAGAGGTCCAATGTGGTTTTCATTTACTGTCATGAATTAAGAAGAGGTAGTAAGAATTCTAAGAAATGAAAGAAAATGGCTGTATGTACTTACACCACTCGAAGGCTGCACTTTGCCACTTTCTTTTCTCAAGGTCTAGTTTACTTTGGAGAGAACCCCTGTAGAAGCATGAGGAGTTTTCTCATTTAGTATGTCCTCCCAAAGGGAGCTTGAGACTTAACGATAAAAAAAAATTCAGAAAAGTTCTCAATGAAGGAATGAAGGTGGACATTACATTAAAAAGTAAGCACAATTCAAATCCACTAGCCTGAACCATGCAGTTTAACAAGGCCATGTTCCTCCAAGGTTATAGAGTAAATGAATAGCCAAGAAAAATTCCTGAAGTCAAGGCCTTCAGAAGCTCATTACAGCTCATTAAATAGGTAGTTTTCCATTGCAGATTGGGTGACCGTAGTTAGCAACAGTATACTGTATATTTCAAAGTGTTAGGTTGGTGCAAAAGTAATTGTGGTTTTTGCCATTACTTTCGATGGCTAATTACTTTTGCACCAATCTAATACCTGGAATAGAGGACTTGAAATGTTACCCACACATAGAAATGTTAAGTACGCAAGGTGATGATACCCCAAATACTCTGACCTAACCATGACACATTCTACACATACAACAAATACTCACATGTACCCCATAAATATGTAAAATAAGCATTAATAAAAGAAAAAAGTATGAAGCAAAAATCTTAAAAAACCCCCCAAAATATAAGCTACTTTCATATGAGGAAAGCATAAGTGGTTTTCAGTTAAAACAGGTCAAAGAAATGTTCACTGAAGTTTTAAAAATGGATACATGCTAAGTTAGTAAAAGATTGTTATTGGAAGCATGGAATACGCATACATCATGATCCAGATAGGATAACTGATTTCCTTATTTTTTTTGCTTGCCTATAAGTTTAGTATCTCCTGCCCCATGCAATGGCTCATGTTTTCCCCGTGCATTTGCAGGTTCTTGCTGAAAACAATCAGCTGCGGAAGGAAGCGGATGACGTTGGGCCACGAGCGGAGCTGGAGCACTGGAAAAAAAGACTCTCCAAGTTTAACTACCTTTTGGAACAACTGAAAAGCCCAGATGTGAAGGCTGTGCTGGCGGTGCTTGTGGCGGCCAAGTCAAAACTGCTGAAGGTCGTCAGCCATTTCATTTTGCCTCGTAAAAAGGGAATAAGAGTTCTCTATGCATATTTTCAAGTTATAGAGTGATTAGGAGCAAAGAATGTTATTATACCTTGAGGAAAAACATTTATAATTATGTAATATTTCCCTCATATAACTTTGGAGGTTGTGGCAATAGTCTTTGAATTAAAGACATTTGTTAGCTGGCGTACACATATGTATATATGTTATTAGAGGGCATTGCATGTAATTAAGACAGAACATGATAGCATGTTTATATACATGTATCTATATGTTATGATTTCAGACAAGCTAGAAATAAAAATAATGAAAACTCACCCAATCCATATTTATTTTTTAGTCCTTGTATATTAGTTTTATATTGCAAAACAACCCCCAAACTTAGCAGCTTAAAACAACCAATAGTCCAGGCGCGGTGCCTCACACCTGTAATCCCAGCACTTTGGGAGGCTGAGGCAGGCAGTTCACAAGGTCAGGAGTTCGAGACCAGCCTGGCCAATATGGTGAAACCCCATCTCTACTAAAAGTACAAAAATTAGCTGGGCATGGTGGCGCGTGCCTGTAGTCCCAGCTACTTGGGAGGCTGAGGCAGAAGAATCGCTTGAATCCGGGAGGTGGAAGTTTGCAGTGAGCTGAGGTCGTGCCACTGCACTCCAGCCTGGGTGACAGAGTGAGACTCTGTCTCAAAAAAACAAACAACAACAAAAAAACCAGCCAATATTCTAATCTCGGAGTCTATGGGCCAGGAATCTGGGTGCAGCTTAGCTGGGTGCCTCTGACTCTGGGTATCTCATGAGGCTGCAGCTGTGATGTGAGTTCATCTTAGGGCTCAACTCGTGGAAGATCTGCCTCCGGGTTCACTCATCTGGTTGTTGCTGCCTTCAGCGCCTTGCTGGCTGTTGGCTAGAGGCTTCCTTCAGTTCCTTCCCACATGGGCCTCTCTGTAGAACAGCTTAGAACATAGCAGCTGGTTTCCCTTAAAGGGAGCAAGTGAGGGAGGGCAAGAGAGCACCCAACCTAGAAGCCACAGTCTTTACGTGAATTAATTCTGGAAGTGACATCCTCTCACTTTAGCCATATTCTCCTTATTAGAAGCAAGTCACTAGATTCAGTCCATGATCAAGGAGAAGGGACGAATACAAGAGCTTGAATACAGGGAGTTTGTGGTCATTGGGGACCATCATAGAGGCTGCCTAACTCACCTGGCATTGGTGCTGGAAAGACTATTTGTTAACTATTTGCATGGGTGTTATTAGCTATTTGCATGTTTTGATACATGCAAATAATCTAAATAATCAATAATAATTTGTTACAATAAACATGCTATAGATTTACTTTATTTTATTCCTCAATGAAATAGCAGAGGTAAGCCTTGCAATACAGTTCAGAAATACTATCAGTCGGACTTCCATGAAGTCAATGGAATGTATTGACGTGCTAAATAATTTCCTTTTACTGCTCTCACTTTTAGATTATCTTTCCATTTCTAAGTTCTTAGCTCATAGCACAGTACTGGCATATGGTTGGCAGATAATAAACAATTACTACATTTATGGATAAATGTATAGGGATATAGGAAGGGAGTTCAGGTTAGAATAGAGGAAAGATAGAAAATATGGTAGTGAGGTATCAAATGGGTCTGGTGCAGGGGAAAAGGTGTGAGTTTAAAGGGAGGTGCTGTCCTCTTGGTGCTCTAGGATAGTCATGGCACAGATTTTATATGAGAAGCCCTCGAAGATATGTTTTAAAAAGTTTAGTCAAAAATTTTAAATTGCTTCCCAGCATAGCAATATCTCTTGCCTCTCTGGATTCAGTTTTATGTGAGATGCACAGAAAGTCTGGCCTAATGGACTTGTGGTGACTGTTAGCAGCGGTTATGTTGGAAGTTCCTCTATGAATAATTGCATTAAAATTGGTTTTCCGTATTGTGCTTAGACTTGGCGGGAGGTGGATATTCGAATCACTGATGCAACTAATGAAGCGAAGGACAATGTGAAATACTTGTATACACTTGAAAAATGTTGTGACCCTTTGTACAGCAGTGATCCAGTGAGTTAAAGATTTCTACTCTTTCAGTCTATAGATAACTCTTTTTGCACTAGCTGAACTGAATATTGAATTTTGGTTCATCGATATTACAGTTCATTGGAAAGGTCTTAGAAACTTTATTTTCAAGAAAATTTTATATATTTATATATATATGTATATACACATACACACAGATACCTATATTTCTATATCTATTTCTCTAAACAGTCTATCTCCTATCTATTGAAGATGTATATGAGATGTTATATTTTAAAACATTTATTGCACGTTACATTTTCCATTAAATATTGCAAAGGGCATTCTGAACTATATATCTCAAAGAACTGTAGGAAAAATCATTAGCTGGTGATTTTTCTTTTAATCTTTTAGCTTTAGGAAGTGCCTGCTTTTACTTATTACAAAATTAACTGTTATTAACAGTTCATCCTTAATAATAGTTAACAGGTAACTCGCTGTTGCTTGTCATTAACAGCAGGTCAATGTTTCTTCCATTGAAATAAAATTTGATTAACCATATATGACTAATATAATAAAATTCATATTAAATATATTATTTTCATGTAAAGCATTAGATAGTATTTTAAAATCTTTAATATAAATCTCTTAAACTTTATTTTAATGCAGATGGAATGGTTAGTCTATTAGAATTTTGCTGAATTTGATGATTTTTTTCTGAAAACTTTGATGGTATCTTTCAGCTATCCATGATGGATGCTATTCCTACACTTATAAATGCAATTAAAATGATCTATAATATCTCTCATTACTATAACACTTCTGAGAAGATCACATCTCTGTTTGTAAAGGTAAGTGCATGATGTAGAGTTCATGTTCATTTATATTTCTTTACCAATGATCAATTTTTTGATAATTAAAAATTACCATCTTGGCTCAGTTCAATATGCATGTATTTTAAAATTTTAAAAAGGCTTAGGCTATCAATAGAGATAGAATTAAATTTATGTCAGAGGTTGATTCTAGCAAATCATAAAGCATTATTTCCCAAAGTAATTATTATGATAAATATTTTATTATTTATATAATACAAATGAAAAAAGATTTCTTTCCCTATGTGGTTTAGCACATCATGTATTCCTACTGGGTAAATTTTAATTAAGAAAAGCTATATTTAACTGACTATCTCTTGTTTCATATTTCATATGCCACTGTTCCAAATTTATTTGATGCCACAGTTGTTTACTTGGTGTTATTAGAACAATAATCATGGTAATAAAAGCCACTTGCAATGTTCTAGGAATCTATAAAGCAATTATAATGATTCTGCCAAAAAACATAACGATGCTTAAACCTTATGTCCTAACTCGTAAGTGTTTATGGTAAGCACTGTTGCTATTCTCATTCTGAATAGTCTCTAAGAAGTAAATGACTTTTTCATTATCAAAGCAAAAATCTTAAATGTTGTATTAAAATAGAAGAGTTTTTGACTCATGAAGATTTGTGTTCTGAATACTAACGCAGTAGGAAGCACAGTTCTTCCTGGGAATAAAGACATCCAGCCTTAAGAGCTCAATGGGAAACTTTTTCCTCCTCTCATATAGGTAGTTCAGGTAGACAGGAGGAATGACTGCAAAATTCCCTCCCAACTTCCTTATACTTTAAAATTATATGTTAGAGTTGCAGGAGTATTCCCTGAGTAAATGACGCCCAAAAGTAAATTTGTGTTATTAATTTAGATTTTATACATATTATTTGCAAAACATGATTTAGCATAAAATAATGAAACCACCATTTAATTATGGAAAACCTTTCATTATGGAAATGTTGAATTAGGTACAAAAGGAGAGAGAATTGTATACTATAATGCCATGTACATATCACCTAGATTCAGCAGATATCCACTCTTGGCTGATCTTGTTTCACCTATACCCCCACCCCTTGCACTGTAAATCCTGGGCATCATATCATTCCATGGATACAGCATAGTCATTTTAATTTTCCTTGTGCTTTATGCAAAAAATTAATATATTTCTGAGGATTTTTGTAAAGTTTGGAGAGATGAATAAAATGTTAGTGGTTTTGTACATTAGCTTTCCTTCTCTCTGTGGCCTTCTCCTTTTGACATTTCCATTGCTGATCTTGGTCACATGAAAAGATCAGGATTGGCAGTATTTTACATGGTGCTAGTAAACTGTGAGTTAGATATTTAGAGCAGGTTACCTAAGGAGATTTGTGGAAACTCATCAGTTTTTAGGGAAGGAAATGAAGCATTCCGTGGTTGGTTAAGACATTCATCCTGCATAAACAAGGTGGCCCGAATTGTTGATTTTCCATGGTGCTTCCAACTCTGCGATTTCACAAATGATTTTGACAATATCAAAGGGTTATTGGTTGATTGCATCTGTGATGGAAAAAGAAATAAACCCAACCTCAAGTTAGAAGATGGTGAACTCTGAGAAGTGGAAGAGTTAAGGACCTTCTAGTTCAGTTTACAATCCATGGCTGTTTTATGTGCTTAACATCATTTTATTGGAAAATCCCAGGTGACAAATCAGATTATATCTGCATGTAAAGCCTATATCACCAATAATGGAACCGCTTCCATCTGGACCCAGCCACAGGATGTTGTTGTAGAAAAAATACTATCTGCGATTAAACTGAAACAGGTAATGGTTAGTTTAGTATTTAGAGGTTCTATTATTTTTGTCTTATTTTTGCTGAGACCATCTTAAATCATTTTGTAATTATTACATCTTTGGTTGCTAAAAAGAACAGTGATTCTTAACTATTAAGAAAATGGAATGTTAATATACCTTCCCAGGAAATTTATTCAGTTTTTTTTTTACCCTTCTTGGGAGCCTACTATGTCCTGATACCACAGTAAGTACTAGAGATACAAAGACAACTGATATGAGGTAGTTTTCCTTAAGCGTCTTAAAGATGAATGGAGAGAGAGTCACAGAAGGATGCTATTACCAAAACCGTGGGACCAAGATGGGAAGGCCACACCTTTGAGTTGCATCATGAGTAACCCAGTTAGAATCTGGAATTGCTAGATTAGAGGAGGTGAAAAGATGATTTCCAGGCTGATGAGTGAGTACATGCAAAGGCATGAAACTATGAAAAAGCTTATAATTCCATCCTAATTTTTCTGTTGCCTTCACTTAAAAAAATAAAATTTCTCGTTCCCTTTGTTGTATATTTTTGTATATTTTTCTTTTGATTTTAAGGAATACCAGCACTGCTTTCACAAGACAAAGCAAAAGCTTAAACAAAATCCAAATGCAAAACAATTTGATTTTAGTGAGATGTATATTTTTGGAAAATTTGAAACTTTTCACCGACGCCTTGGCAAGATAATAGACATCTTTACAACCCTCAAGACGTATTCAGTCCTGCAAGATTCCACAATCGAAGGGCTGGAAGACATGGTCACTAAATACCAGGTATTGTACTTTCAAGCTATATTTTCTACCATAATCCACAACTAAACTGCAATATTTTATGCAAATAACAGTGTTTAGAATGATTCAAATCATCCATCTGTAATGTAAAATATAAATAATCTCATGGCCTTTTAACCATAAAGAAATTAGATTTATTTGAGAATTGTGTAATGGTGCTAATATGTTCTTTTCAGGTGTGTGGTTATAAGAATGACTTTCCAATAGTCTAAAATTAATCACATTAAAAAAGCATTTTCATTAGTAGCACAAGAAAAATGTTTAAATGTAACTTATTATTTTATTTATTCATGCAAGAAATATTTCATGAAGACTATACTGTGTCAGGCATTAGTCGACACCAGGTACTGTGTGGCACTCAGTTATCTCTGCATTTAAGCATTTTATTTGGACCCATATTAAAAAATATAAAGGACATGATTTTATTCTAGATCTGACTTCCCTAATTATTTTGATTTTTAACTGCTTTATCTTGTCATGGTATCTGTGTGACTAATTTTAGTTTTGAAAGTGGGCATAGTGACCTAATAACATTTTGAAGATGTTAGAAAAGCAATTTACAAACAATTTGCTTTAAATTCTTAATATGGACATAGTCAATTTTTTTCTTTTTTTGGGGATGCTGACACTAAATCTTAAAGTTTTTTGGTACTTGAATTTGAAAAGGATCATATAATTAACCAGTATACACTAATTTTTGTACTCTAACAGTTTAGACCAATATAAGGAATCTTTTTTATTTCCTGAGTATATCAAGTTTTGGGAGAGAAAAAGAAAAGATTTTTATATAGCAGGAAACATTTTAAGTTTACTGACAGATAGTAGATGTGCAATAAATATCTGTCAAGACAATAATTAAGTAGATCGAGTTTGAATAATTGCTGTAAAGGTCACGATTAATCATTTCCTTTATTTAACTTAATAATCTTAAGTGACCATTAAATCCCATCATAGAGCGGGATTTTCTCAAGTCCCCAAATCTTTAAAATTACTACATCAAAATGTAGTAGCTTTTCTATACTTCTTTTAGAAAGCTACATGTGTATGTGTGTGTGTGTGTGTGTGTGTGTATATATATATATGCATACACACACACATACTTTTGATTCATTTGATATTAAGGAACATCAGCACTGTAAATCCTAGACATTGTGTCATTCCATGCATGTATATATTGTGTGTGTATGTATATTTTATATAACATTCCATGCATATGCATGTTATATAAAAAAGTATATGTATATATACACACACACAATTTCTAAATAGAACTAATTTTGTAGTTATGCAACATGAAAGAGTAGGTTGTTTTATCTAGTAAACTTGATTCAAGAAGTTATGCTGTTTATACACTTTTGTCTATTGAGAGATTTGATGTTTAAATGGAAGTGACTTTGAAGAGGAGATTGTAGAAGAAGGAGGCCCAATATTCTTCATAAAAATTATATGCTTCTGTCAACAATGTGGGCACCTGAGTTTGAGAATGGCTTAGTACCTGGTTAAGAAGAATCGCAGAGCATTATAGCTCATTATTCAAAGCAAACAAAGCTTCTGATAATAGTATTTTCAAGGAGATGAACTTCCTAGTTTGTACTTTCCTAGTCACAGGCTGCAGCTTTGCAGGGCAGTAGGCAGCAATTAATTTTAGAGAGGTTTTAAGTGGTGGATTCCGGTTTGACATTTTTAAGACGTTTGGGGCTTGGAAGATAGTAACTCATCTGTAGATATAACATAATTTATTTTCTTCCTATGTTGTTTGTATTCTGTGAAAGCCTTATTTATTTTCTGAGAAGATTTAAACTATTCAACACAAAATATTTTGGTAAATTCTACTCTGGGCTTTAAAAATTTATTTCAGATATGGTTAACAATAAAATTTTAGTGAAAAAGACCTTTCCCAATTTTCAGATGTGACTTTTATTTTATTTTATATTTTCAAAAATACATAAAACTTCTTGAAAATGCTGTCCAAGTGATTTCTTTGAATGCAGTATGGCAACCTTATACTGCCTATAAAATAATAAGCATGAAACAATGTAAGTAAAAAAATGAAGCTTCCTTTAAACTTATTTTTTTTGGCAATTATTGTATAGGCTCTACATTTAAGGGTCATATTTAGTTAGGTAATTTAAGAATATTGAAATACTATCTAATTTATCTCATAATATTTCAGGGCATTGTGGCAACCATAAAGAAAAAGGAATACAATTTCTTAGACCAGCGGAAAATGGATTTTGACCAAGATTATGAAGAGTTTTGCAAGCAGACTAATGACCTTCATGTAGGTTGTATAATACAATTCCTGTTGACAGTCGTGTGTTTATTTTTTCCTTTCTGTATAATGCTGTTAATCATTACCCATTCAGAAGGCAGAGGTGTCTTCATCATGGAGGTGACCGATAGCAACCTCAGCCTGTGTTTCATGATTTCAGATTAATAATTGAAGGCTGTTTTTCATAGATTAAAGGGTCATAAATATAGCTTTGGCTAATGATGTGTATGAGACTTCTACATGTCTTCCATTGAAGTTCTTAGAAAGTTAACTTTCATCTTCTGTTGAACATTGCGGCATGATTAGAATATAGATGCTTATTTCCATTTGTCACTGTGTAGCAATGATTATGACCAGAGGTAGCTCAGGCAAATGGTCAGCAATGTCTGGCAGATTCCAAGGCCTGGTTGCCACTGGCCTTAGTAACGGTGGCGCCAGGACCAGCTCAGCATCTGGACCCTGCTTGGTCTTTCAACCCCTTTCTCTCTTCCTTCTTTCACTGCTCACTGCAGACCAGCCGTCTTGCCTTGCAGCTCACATGAGCAGTTTATGGCATCAGCAGCTTCTGAGGCTGTTTCACAGGACCAGGCCAGCTCCAGATTCCCGAGGAAGGGGTTGGGCTGGCCAGTTCTGGTGAGGTGCCTAGTACTGGGCCTCTCAATTGTGAGATCCTGTGGTGGACACAGGCAGGATGGGATCCGCTGGGTCATTGGGAATGTTTATTATCAGGAAAGGGGAGTCAGGGAGGGTAAGATGGGAAGACACACAACAGGTATCTACCATAATGAATATGCAGACATTTTCTCATCCCAGTGAGGTGCAAATGTCTTATCTTTCTGACTATAAGAGGAAAATAGCCACTCTATTTCTTCTTTCCCAGGGTTTCTGATTTGCATTAAATGTGTGCACTTCAGAGTAAAAGGAGACACCTTGGGAGGAGTGAGTTCAGTGTTAGAATGACTCGTAACAAAGCTAGCTAATTCTATGTGCCAGGTACTGTTCTAAGCACTTTGTATGTGCTAATTCATTTAATAATCATACCAATCCTGTCAAGTGGGTGCTCTTGTTACTCTCATTTTGCAGAGGGGGAAACTGGCAAACTTCACTGTGAGGTGAAGTGGTTTGCCCAACACAGGCATAAGAAGGGGTGGAGTGGGGGTGAAATCCAGGCAATCTGGCTTTAGAATTCAACGTTTTTAACCATTGTGGCATGCAACAGTCTTCATTTGATGGGAAGGAAGAGTGCCTATAATAATTTAGGCAGTGAATTCTTTTGGGGGCAGATTCAGACATAAGGATAGTGGATCTTGGTCTCTTTTTGGTGGAGATTGATGAATAATGGCAGATTCTGATATTCACCTGTGTTTCCCCAGCAGTGTCTGACCACGTGGTACTTCTGTAGCTTATATGTGGAACATAGATGGTGAGCACCTCAAATGCAGGGATCATGTTTTATTCCCATATGTAAATAAGAAGATGTAGATTTATTGCAATGAAACAAGCATTTGCTATACAGCAATTATGTATTACACTTCTATGCTGTAGGTTATGAATATAGAAATAAATCAAGTAGATATGCCTTCGCAGCTCATAGTCAGAAAGGAGGCAGATGGTGAAATGATTAAAATATAAGCACATACATAAGAACAGAGTAATGAATTTAGCATTTAAAAAAGGGCAAATGGGGCTAAAGTGGCTAGTTATGAAAGAATGCTACTCTGATACTATATGAAAAAGTGAGGATTCAAAAATAAAGAGACATAGCTCAAGGCCTACAAAAATGTATTGGGAGATCAGGCCTGCGAAACATTACATAGGATTTGATAATGTGAAACTAGGAAAAGATAATCTGATACTTCTGCTTGGCTGGGGTTAGGAAAGCCTTCAGAGAGGAGGAGGCTGTGGTTGATGCTAGAAAGATGTTTTTGTGGTTATATTTTCCATGGTTTCAACTACCCAGGGTCAGCTGTGGTCTGAAAATAGGTGAGTATAGCACAATAAGATATTTTGAGAGAGAGGCCACATTCACATAACTTTTATTATAGTATATTGTTAAAAATTGTGCTATTTTATTATTAGTTATTGTTGCTCATCTCTTACTCTGCCTATTTTGTAAATTAAACATCATTATGTTTGTATGTATGTACAGGCAAAAACATAGTATATATAGGGTTTGGTTTCAGTCACCCACTGGGGGTTTTGGAACATATTCCTGAAGATAAGAGGGGACTACTGTATTAGTCCCCATTCTACTCAGCCTTCTTAAAAGAAATTCAACACTATTATCCGTCTTGTCTTCCACCTCAGAAATTGTTCACTTCTGTCTTTGGTTTGCCAATGAGTTTTTCTTTGACTTATACTTCTTTATTCCTTTGTCCGTTCTCTTTCTCTTAACTAATTGTTCTGCAGTGTCTCTTTAAATACTCACCCATTCATGAATTCAGCCCTCACCTTTGTAAAACTGGGGCAAAAATACCTTCCCATGACTCTAGATGGAGTAAAGGCAGTGATGCATCCTGGGGTCTTGGAGAGACTCAGCAACAGTGGCATCTCGAGTGTAAGACTTCATGAGTGATTTAGATCAGGTGGTGTCCAGGGCTCCCCTGTCAAAGGGATCACAGCCTGGAATCTTCTCCAGATTTAGGGTTCGTGCTGGTACTAACAGGTCAAAGAGGGCAGCATGTTGGAACCAAGTGGGCTATTGGAAGTCTAGAAGCATGCTGATCCCAGCAGATGGAGAAGGCACTACTTAGTAAAGGATGGGTGTTGAGGTGGCAAACTGAGTTAAAAGAAAACTTAGTGGGAGCTGAGACCCCTACTAATGGGAAGACGAATATGAAGATTCCACAACCCAGATCCCACAAACTGTAAGGATGGACCAAGGCTCAGAACAAGAAAATTAAGTCTAGGTCTTACATGTTGACAAAGAGTTCAGCCTAGGCCTTTGCGAAACCATAGGGTAGAAAGGCAAGGAAAAACCAGAAAAACTGTTAGGGCTCAGTAGAGATTTACTGTTTTCTGAAGGAGAGGGAGGCAGTGGAAGGGTTATAAATGCTCTAGTTTTCATAATTTATAAATAGAGTTTTTTTATGTAGTGAAAAAATGTAGATGTTTATTTAGGTAGGCTAACTGTGCTGTTTTTTAATGCAAGAACATTTTTTCATCCTAGGATGTGGACTTAGCAGAAGAAATAATGTCACTTAAAAAATACATATACTTCCAGTAGAAGTAGCTGAAACTATTGAGGGCAAGGAAGTATTGTAATAGGCTTCCAGGTCTTTCCATTTTGGAGCTTTGCTGTATCAGGCAGGAGATTTGCAGCTTACCCATTCCCCACCCTGCCAATAGCTCCGTCTCCTCCACAGGTAGTGTCTCCTGCGGTGGTCTGGATATCGCCAGCTGGTTGTTTTACTGTATTACTTCTGACCTAACATTACTGAAATCAAACCCCTTTAGGTACTAATTCTTATTGCATATCAAACTGGTCTCCTCATTTTAATACTACATCAAGTAATGTCTCTTCAAGTTTGCAAGGACTTAATTAAAACTTCTGACTGGTAAGTTGAAAAAAAGTTGTTCACTTTGTCTTGAAGCATGAAATATAAAATAAGGAAATAATTTTTCTATGTTTTATTTAACTAAATTTAGATTTTAATTATAGCTCTGCACTAAAGCTTAGGCTACACAAAGAATAAATTGTGCTTAGTTTTTTGGTGCAATTTTTTTGCGGGGGAGGGTCACAGTTACATGATAGTGTAAGATGTGTGACGTTCTCAGAAGAATCCCTAACGACCACCCATACAGGCATGCTCCACCACACCCGGCTAATTTTTTGTATTTTTAGTAGAGATGGGGTTTCACCATGTTGGCCAGACAGGTCTCAAACTCCTGACCTCAAGTGATCCACCTGCCTTGGCCTCCCAGAGTGCTGGAATTACTGTCGTGAGCCACCATGCCTGGCCTCATTCTGCTAGATTCTGATTTGACAGATGCTTTCGGTGTGAAATTGCATTCACCCCACTGCTCTTGCTTAATTTTGCCAAAGGTTAGTCTGTATTATTATTTTCCCCAAAGAGCAGCTTTGGAGATGTTAATCTTGTCTCTTGTTTCTTTGTTTTTAATTTTATTACATTTTGCTTTAAAACATTTTTTTCTTCTTTCTTTGGATTTATTATTTTTACCTTTCTTCAACTGGCAGCGTAGCTCATTAATTTCAATTTCTTTTCTTTTTCTCTTTAAAATAGGTGCATGAAAGTCTATATCTTTTCCACAAAGTGTCACTATTGCTGTTTCTTACAAATTTTAATATGTAGTACATATGTTGTTGTTGAGTTTAAAGTATCACATCATTTTCATTATGATTTGTTATTTTGCTCATGGATTATTTAAAAGCACTTTTGGCTTTTTATTATACTCTATGGGCTCTTATTTTATTTTGACTTAGACTATTATATTTTGATGTGAGAACATGGAATACTTTATGTCAGTATTTTGGTATTTACTGAGATGTCCTCCGTGGCCTAGTTCATAGTTAAGATTTGCAGATGTTCCATGTGTACTTGAAAAGAGTAGTGTTTTCTGTCGGGATTTGGGGTCTTCCGATGTCACTATATCACACTTTTAATTGGGTTATTCAAATATTTTAGGTCCTCATTAAATATTTTTTAAAGAGAAGTTTTAGATTCGCAGCAAAATTGAGAGGAAGTACAGAGATTTCCTATATTCCCCCTACACTCCCCCAGAATGCATAGATTCCCCCATTATGAACATCCCCCAATAGGATGGTTCATTTGTTACAACTGATGAACCTAAATTGACACATCATTATTATCTAAAGTCCACAGTTTACATTAGGGCTCACTCTTGGTGTTATACATTCTATGGGTTTGGACAAATATATAAGGATGTGCATCCACCGTGATAATACCATGCAAAGTGTTTTCCTACCCGAAAAGTCCCCTGTGCTCCACCTATTCATCCTTCCCTCTCCCAGCAGTTACTATCTTTTTACTGTCTTTGTAGTTTTGCCTTTTCCATCTAGTCGGAAGCATACAGAATATGCCCTTTTAGATTGGCTTCTTTTAATTAGTAATATGTGTTTGTATTTTCTTCATGCCTTTTCATGGCTGGATAGCTCATTTCTTTTTAGCATGGAATAATATTCCATTATTCAGTTGTGATGTACCACAGTTTATCCAGTCACACACTGAAAGACATCTTGGTTGCTTCCAAGTTTTGACAACTATGAATAAAGCTGCTATAAACATTGGTGTGTAGATTTTTGTGTGGATATAAGTTTTTAACTTCTTTGGGTGAGTACCAAGAAGTATGATTGCTGGATCATATAGTATGAGCGTTTTTAGTTTTGTGAGAAACCACCAAACTGTCTTCCAACATGGCCATACCATTTTGCATTCCCACTGGCAATGAGTTAGAGTTCTTGTTGCTCCACAGCCTCACCAGCATTTGGTGTTTTCAGTGTACTAGATTTTGACCATTCTAATATTTGTAGTGGTATACTGAATATCTTTTGATCTTCTTTGTCTGAGTTCTTTTTGTGTTGCTATAACAGAACTGCAGACTGGGTGATTTATAAAGAAAAGAAATTTATTTCTTACAGTTTGGGAGACTGAGAAGTCCAAAGTTGAGGAGGCTGCATCTGGTGAGGGCCTTCTTGCTGCATGGCAGAAAGGTGAAGAGCGAGAGAGCCTGAGAAAGCAAGAGAGGGTTGAGCTCGTTTTTATAACAACTCACTCCTGTGATAACATTAATCCACCAATGGGAGCAGAGCCCTCAAGGCCTAATAACCTCTTAGCAGTGCCGCCTCTTAATATCATCACGATGGCAATTAAATTTCAACAGGAGTTTTGGAGAGGACATTCAAACCATAGCATGCTTGATCCATGGGTTTCTAAGAATCTGTGCATGTATTTTGATTCAGTTGGTTAAACACAGACTCGAAATTGGCATATCTGCCAAAGAAATTGTTCCCATTAACACTAAATTATGACCATATTTATCTTCAGTGAGGCTTTTTGTCTTACAATCAATTTTGTGAATTATTTATATGGCTACTTCAACTTTCTTTTGGTTATTATTTACCTGAAATAAACATTTTTTCTATTCTTTTACTTCCTACTATTTCTTTCTTTCTTTCATTTTCTGTTTTTTTTGAAACAGGGTCTTGCTCTGTCACCCAGACTGGAGCACAGTGGTGTGATCTTGGCTCATGGCAGCCCCGATCTGCTGGGCTCAAATGATCATCCCACCTCAGCCTCCTGAGTAGTCGAGACTACAGGTGCATGCCACCATGCCCAGCTAGTTTTTGTATTTTTTGTAGAGTCAGGGTTTTGCCATGTTGCCCAGGCTGGTTTCAAACTTCTGGGGTCAAGGAATCTGCCCACCTTGGCCTCCCAATGTTCTGGGATTAAAGGCACGAGCCACTGTACCTGGCCTACTATTTCTTAATTATTATATTTTAAACATGTCTCTTTAAAAGAGCAATGGTTGGATTATATACATATAATACACACACACACACACGCAATCCACATACATAGAATCCATATATATATATAATCCATATATCTATAATTTATATATAGTATCCTTATATATAATTCAATACATACACATATATAATCCCCATATATATAAAATCCATGTATCTATAATACATATATCTATAATTTTTATATATAATACCCATATATAATCCATATCGCTCTATATAATTTATATATGTATATATAAAAAATAGCTGAGACCCTTTCCTTTAATTGCAAGTTTAAGCCATTTACATTGAGTGTTGTTTCTAGTGTAGTTAGAATTACTTCTACAATCTATTTTGAATTTTCAATGAGGTGAGCTTTTTTTCTTTGACTTCTTTCTTTTTATATTTTGTTGATTACATTTTGTTATTCTCTTTATTCCTCTTCTATTTATATTTTTAATGTTGTATTTATATTTTTGGTGGTTTTAGCATATATACCTGACTTTAAAAAGTTTGTTTTATCAGCCTACCTCTCAATCATGCTATGGTTGTCTTGAATTTTAGTTTTACCTTTGCTGCTCAACTTTTCAAACTTGTTGTTACTAATAGCTAATTAAATGTAGCAACATATTTACAGATTGCTTTGCTTATTCTTACATCTCATTAGTAATCTAATTGTATCTCTCCCTCTTTTTGGGTTCATTATTGTTCTTAAAGAAGTATATCCTTTAGTTTTAACAAGAGTCTGTTAGTGGTAAACTCTTCCAGTCTTTACACCCAAATGCCTATAAAGTTTCCCTCAGTCTTGAACTTTATTCTCGTTTTATATGTGATTTTAGTTTGGGTGTTATTTTCCTTCAGCCCTTAGAAGATCTTTTTTCATTGATTTTTGTCAGCTATTGTTCTCAACAAGGTATTTGCTATCAAATAGTTATTGCTTTATAGATAATTTGATTTCTCCCTTTTGTGATTTTAATATTTTTCTCTTTTAATATTAATATTTTCTTTTAATATTGTTTTTCTCTTTACCTTTGGCATCTTTATGTGAGTTTTAGGTGTGATTAAAACATATTTCTCTTGTTCAGAGTTTGATGTGCTTCCTCCATTTGAGGACTAAGTCTTTTTTTAATTGTGGAGAATACTCAGCCTTTATTATTTTAAATACTTTAGGTTCGTCTTCCAAGATTTCCAATAGACATATGTTACACCTTCTTTTTCTAACTTCCATGTTTGTTAACATCTTTTTTTGTATTTTTCCATTTCTTTATTTCTCGGCTATACTTTGGGTGATTTTATTTGAAAACAGTCTTGTAGTTCATCATTTTTCTTTTCAGGTGTTTACAATTTGCATCTATTGTATTTTGAATTGTAATTATGTTCCCCTTTATATGTCTAAATTTTGTTTTTAAAAATCTGAGTGCTCTTATTTTATTCTGTTCTGTTCTTTTTATGATTTCTGTTTCCTCTTTACTCTTTAATCATTTTAAATATACTTTATTTCATAGTCTCCTTTAGACTGCTCTGTCATTTCTAGTTCTTGGTTACTAATTCTGTTTGTGCATTCTGCTCCTTTTCTCTCAAAGATCATTTTCTCGTGGGGTTTTCAGAAACTTTGTGAGCTGCTTTAGAAGTTATGTATTTATTTATTTTTCCCTGTAGCAATCTTTTGGCCCTGGGCTTTGAAAGTGTTTCTATAGAGTGACTTTTCCTGAATTCTGCTGTGGTCCTAGTGGTTTTACCTTCCCAGACTAGCTTTTATGTTAATGTCTTGGGTTATATCCCTTGCATTTCATGGACTCCTTATCTAGGTGTGGCACACATGTGGGATTTCAGTTCCTCTAGGGCAGGGGTCAGCAAACTATGTCCAAGAGCCAAACAGTGCCGTGCCCATTTGTTTGTGCACTGTCTATGTGTGCTTTGGTATTCCAGTGGTAGAAGTGAGTAGTTGTGATGAGAAAGTATGGGAACCCTATTGTAGGGTGACTTTTTTCCCAACTCTCCAAGGGTTTGGGCAGATGTCAAGCCTCTTTGCAGCTTTCCCAACTTGTGAATCAATTCCCTTTGCATGTACTGGGCAGCACGTCAAGGATCCCAGCTTTCTGCAGGATTTGTTGAGAGTGTTAGGACCCCATAGCCCTTCTCCCCATATTCTGAAAAGGCCCCAATGCCACCCCCCAGGCTCTGTGTCTGGCCCAATACCTATGGAACCTGACGTGGTGCCAACTCCCATGGCTGCCCTGGCTTTCAAGTCTCTTTGTTTCTGGCTTCTGGGCATTTATTTTTCTTTTAAGCTCATTCAATTTTCGGTTCCATTTTGTTCCATATTATATGTGTTTGCAGAGAATGGAAAGCTCTTTTATCTTGTTGCTAAACAGTAAATTCCCAATTCTGTTGTTCATCACCAGATTTTATTGTATTTTAGAACGAGTTGCAGAAGTTCATGGATGTTACATTTGAGAAGATTCAAAACACAAATCAAGCTCTAAGAATGTTGAAGAAATTTGAAAGGTAAAAGTTTCAAGAAATTGTCTATTTTCTAAAATTGGGATAGTTTAGCTTTTATTGTTGTTATTCCTATTATTATTTCATATTCTGATGGGAAGGAAAAACTCTCTTGGCAATTTGGGTTACAAGGTCATAGTTTTTAAGTTTTTCAGAATCCTTTTAAGGATTCAGGATTTATTTTATTTCTGCAAATAGAGAATACTCTTAGCTTTGAAGTACCTTGTGACTGCCTATAAGAATGTTTCCTAATGTATAGATAATTTGAAAAAAGTCTTCCCAAGTTAGTAGTTTTGCCAACATTTTATGGATGAGTTTTATTTTTGTTCTTTTAATATTCCACATAAATATCTCATTCTTTTCCATTAGCATTTTAAAAAATAAATATTAATAAATGAGATTACTAGATATTTTTATTGTGTATTTTACTTATTTTATTTTATTCCATTAATTCAAACTTTTAACTTTTTTTTTTTTAAAAAATCAGGTTGAATATACCTAATCTTGGTATTGATGACAAATATCGACTTATCCTTGAGAACTATGGGGCTGACATTGATATGATTTCAAAGCTGTATACAAAGCAGAAATACGACCCTCCTCTGGCTCGAAACCAGCCTCCCATCGCTGGAAAGATTTTGTGGGCCCGCCAGCTCTTTCACAGGATTCAGCAGCCCATGCAGCTTTTCCAGCAGCACCCAACTGTGCTAAGCACGGCAGAAGCCAAACCTATAATTCGCAGTTACAACAGGATGGCCAAGGTCCTCCTGGAGTTTGAGGTCCTCTTCCACAGGGCGTGGCTTCGGCAAGTGAGTCCCTAAATTTATACTCTTCCCATTGTTGGAATCATGGGAACCCCTCCTCTAGCGTTTGACAGTGTTGTTTCTGTAGAAAGTTGGATTTGTAGGTATTTTGTAAGGCAGATGGGTTGAATCTAAGCATTCAGAGTGTAATATGTCCACAAAGAAAAATAATTATTAGGTTTGAAAAAAAATCACAAGCCAGGTAACAGAACCCCATTTTAAATTTAATTTACAAACTCCAAAGTGAGAAGGTCTTGTCTATTGGTTGCTATGCCCAATCTATTAGGATATCTTCCTTTTTAAAATTCATTCAGATCCTAAATGTGTCAGTAAACACCAGTACATCTGTTAAACAAAGTCTCACATTTTCTTTGGTTGTACAACTGGTTAATCATAGCATATCCTACCAATACCTGTATTTCTTTGTAGGTTGTCAGGATGCGATGGCTCCATAGCTGTGTTCATTGGTTTTCTAGATAAGTAAAAACTGAGTTTAGGAGGTTTTATGAAACTTTTATTAGGAAGAATAATAGAGTAGGCATGAAGGTATCAAGTAGCTAAATGGCTTTTGAGACGTCACTACTGTTGCAGTGTCCACTTATTTATCAGTGTGAGAGTCATTGAAAGGTTTTATTGAATTGACTGCCCAACGTCACCACCAAGAACTTGAAGGTTATTTTATGAGACTGGATTTAGGAGAAGAGTGAGTGATCTTACTGCCCTTAATTTAGGAAACTCAAATCCATGGAACAACACTTAATGATCCTTATTCCCAGAGATAGCTGAGCCAGATACTCTGTATGAATTGAACTTTCTAATAGTAGTGATGTTGGTTTCTTCCCACAGATTGAAGAAATTCATGTAGGTCTTGAGGCTTCATTGTTGGTGAAGGCCCCAGGCACAGGGGAATTGTTTGTAAACTTTGACCCTCAGATATTAATCTTATTTAGAGAAACAGAGTGCATGGCCCAGATGGGTCTGGAAGTCTCTCCATTGGCAGCTTCCCTCTTCCAGAAACGAGATAGATACAAAAGGAACTTCAGTAACATGAAGGTATATTACTTTTATTTTTTTCCCCCTTTCTTGGCTAGCTCTGGAATGTATTGTAAAAAAATATGGCGACGTGTCATATTCAAGGAGCAGAAAGTGGCCAGGATGAATGGAGTGACTGAGGGGACAGTGCCATGGGGTGCGGCTGCAGAGTTGGCTGGGGCCAGGCCGTTTCAGGTCTTGAAGGCCAAGTTGAGAAGCTTGGGTTTTATTTTGAGTGTACCAGGAAACCATTGGAGGATTTTGAGCCACTGAAAAAGGCACAATCTCTTTTTATAATAAAAGTTATTCTTACTGCTGGGTGGAAAGTGGATGTTAAGGGGGACAAAGGTATCAGTGAGAAGCCAGTTTGTGAAATGTTGCACTGGCCCTGGATGAAGATGAGAGCTTGAACTAGGATGGCAGCAGAGTTGTTCGGAGAATTTAGAGTTATGTCAACAGTCAGGTTAGGAGAGAACTTGGGAATAATTCCTGTGCTTTTGGTGTGAGCAATTCAATGAATTCAAGTAGGAGTGCCATAGAGTGCTGTGTAGGCTATGTTCTTTATAACTTGCACAATACCATGCAGGGGCCCTGACTGTAAGTTCAATTTATGGAGATGGCAAGAACCGGAAGTAGTGTATTTGGGGCAGCAGGAGGGAATCAGTAGTTCCCAACTGAGTATAAGATAGTTTCTAGACAGCCAAGTGGCAATGTTGTCCATGCAGTTGGATATGTAAGTCTCGAGTTCAGTGGAGAAGCCAAAGTTGGAGGCATACTTCTGAGAGTTATCAGAATATGATTTTTATTTAGTGTCATTGTCCTGGATGAGCTCTGTTAGGGGAGAGAATACAGACAGAGAAGAATGGAGGGCCACTGGACCAAGCATTGGGTTGTTCCAATATTAACAGATCTGAAAGAAGAGGACAGATGTGCACATAAAACAGAGGATTGACCTTTGAGCTGGGAATAAACCAAGTGTCAAGGAAACCAAGGATGGCAGGGCGCGGTGGCTTACGCCTGTAATCCCAGCATTTTGAGAGGCTGAGACCGGCAGATCACCTGAGGTCAGGAGTTCGAGACCAGCCTGGCCAACATGGTGAAACTTCGTCTCTATTAAAAATACAAAAATTAGCCGAACATGGTGGCATGTGCCTGTAATTTCAGCTACTTGGAAGGCCGAGGCAGGAGAATCTCTTGAATCAGGAGGCAGAGGTTGCAGTGAGCTGAGATTGCGCCACTGCACTCCAGCCTGGATGACAGAGCGAGATCTGTCTCAAAAAACAAACAAACAAAAAACAAACAAAGGAAGCCAAGGGTATGAAAAGGCTACAGAGAGAGGGACTGGTCACCAGTGACAAATGCTGCTACCCAGGGGATGAAAAAGGTGAGATCAGAGATGCAGCCATGGACTCTGACAACGTGGAAACCATTGTTAAAATTTCATAGTGGTTAACATCACATGACAATACTAAGTCCATGCACTTGCATTGTATTTTACATTTAAAACCATCTTCGTGCTCATTTTCTCATTTGATCTTTTCTACCACCATGTTAGGTAAGTAGGATAGAATGCTATTATTTTATTGCATAGATGAAAAAACTGTGGCTGAGAGAAGTTAAAAAGATTTAGCAAAGGTCTGATAGCTAGACAGTGGCAGAAGTAAGACCAGAACCCAGACCTGTAGTGCACTGTCTTCCCACCACTTCATGTCATATTAAAAAGTTGTATTGGCAATAGACAGATGTTCCTCAAATGTAGACTCATAAAATACCAGTCCGCATGTTGGGAGATATCCTTTTAGACTGTTTCACATTAGGAAACTTACTTAGTCAATTTACATATTCATAAAGAAAATCATATTTTTACTAAGAAACCATAATTATACGATTATGAAATTACTGATAATTTAACTTGATTTGCAGAGTTATTGTTTCAGTTGTCTGTTTCAGGCAACAAACACTTGTAAGCACATTGAAGGGTTTGCAATAACCATATCATGACTTTATGGGTAAACAACTTGAGCGGGGCTTGGCTAGATGATTCTTCTGTTCCATGTATTGTTGACAAAGATTGTTTATTGGTATTCAGCTGGCAGATGGTCAAACTTTAAGGTCCAAGAAGGGCTCTTCTAGTGTCTGTTTCTTTCCTGTGAACAGGCATATCTATACGTGACCTTCCAGTATGGAGGCCTCTGGCTAGTAGAATTTCTTATATGGCAGCTCAGGGTTTCAAGAACAAGCACTACAGTGAACAATAAAGAAGCCACATGGTCTTTATAATAGCCTCAGGTGTCTCATAGCATCATCTCTGTTATACTCTGTTGGACTGTAAACCTACCTAGATTCAAAGAAAGGGGATATGGTCCCCACCCCATGAAGGGAGGAGGATCAAAGAATGTTTTAAATGACAATTCAAGGGAGTAAATTATTATCTGGTTAATATTTATTATCTTGGAGGTTGAGAGTTAAAAGTTCCTGCTCAACATGAGTAGCAGGTCAAAGCAGATCTATTGGCAGGTTTAGGGGGCCATCTGAAGTGTTGCAGAGTTATTGTGTTGAATATTTGATAGAGCTTTCAGGTTTCTGCAGATATGCCAAAGTAACTGAGAATTTGTTTCTTCATCTATTCCTTGGAAGACAGTTTAACTAGAAAGAAAAGACCAAGTACAGGCTAATAGTTACAAATATAGGTTCTGAAGCCAATTTAATCTGGATTCAAATCATTATCTTTGGGTAAATGACTTCACCTTCTAAGCCTGGGTTTCTCTTTTGTCCAATCAGTTGAGTAATACCTTCTGGGATTAAAGGTGGGAAGTAGAATGCCTGCTAGAAGCAGATTCTAAGAACTGCTTCCAGATAGAATAACTGGTGGACATTGAAAAAAGACAAGCAGTGGATACAAGTTTCAGGAAATGTGTAAGTAGCTGCTAATAGAACCAGAAAATTTAGACTTTCGTAAAGCGGCTTTTATGGACATTGAAAGAATCTTATAGAAATTGTGGAAAAACATTATATGAGGAAAGGATTATGAGGTCCACTTGGGAAATACTGAGTTTAACAAAATTTTCAAAGCCTTGCAAGGCTTCTTACTTCCTTAAGCAGGTTTCTAAGAATCATTAATATTAGCTGTGATCACTCAAGAGGGGAGATATTGTATGCAGCATTTTAAAAATTTATCTATCAAAGGGCCATTTTTCTTACAGAATCTCTTTGGTCTAGTACTCCAGGCAGAACAATTTGGAAAACATTAATCTATTATCAAGGTAATACCAACATGCACATAGATGGTCTTAATACCAACTGTATTTATGAGGCACATTAAAGTTAGTTTCTTATAATTAATGATTATTAATATTGACATGGTCACATATGAACAAAATATTGACACAGTTTGACATTCTATAAATAATACTGACACAGTTCAACATTATGTACATTTCAATGAAAGATGAGAATGTCCATTTCAGATGAAAAGTCCTTCCGATAACAACTAATTAGTTTGATAGATATTGATTTATTATCTCCTATGTGCCAGGCACTGGTTCAGGTTCAGGCTCACTGGACAAAGCAGACAAAATTCTTGTCCTTGTAGAACTTACAGTCTAATTGGGTGAGACAGAAAATAAACACTGTTTAAGTAGGCAAATTAATATAGTCTGTTGTAATAAAGTGATAGTTATTATGGACAAAAAAGGGCGATAAAATGTGTGAGTGGGTTTGGTGGTGGTTTATAAGCTTAAACAGGTAGTCAGGACAGGTATAACTGAGAAAGTATAATTTGAGTAATTATTTGAAGGAGGTGCAAAGGCCCTGAGGCTCAGGATCAGAAAGGAAGACAGTCAGGCAAGTGCAGGTAAGACAAGGAAAGAGTGTTTGGAGATGAGATAAGAGAATTAATGGGACAAAATCGGGTAGATCTTTCTAGACCAAGCACCTAGCCAAGTCCTTTGTATAAAGGTTTGTGGCCCTGAATTAAATGGGAGGCTGTGTAACCATGTGAGCAGAGGAGTAACATGATCTGAATTCTCATTTTGAAAGGATCATTTTTGCTGCTAAACTGTACATAGACTTATTGGGAGGGTGAGTGGAAGCAGACTCTGACTTGCTTTCCACATTTGCAGTTACTGCCATCATTGGCTCCTACCTAAATTATTGGGATGGTCTACCGTTGTCTCTCTGCTTCCACTCACCCTCCCAATAAGTCTAGATACAGTTTAGACAGCAAACAAGGTATCCTAATGGGTTACCTGTGTGCATGAAAGTGAAAGAGGAATCAAGGATGACTCTGGGTTTTAACCTGTGGACTGGAAGGATAAAGTCACTATCAGCTGAGTTGGAGGATGCGCTGGGACGAGGTTTTGGGAAAAGAACAAACTTTCAGTTTGGGACTTATTAAGTTTGAAATATCTGTTACATATTGATGTGGAAACTTTGGGAGGCTGCTGCCACTTGTGAACCTAGACTTTCAGGAGTGAGATCTGGGCTGGAGATGTAAACGTGTTTGTTTCTGGCATCTGGATGAAATTCAAAGCCGTGACACTAGTTGAAATCAACACTGGTTCCCCGTGTGCTTTGGGTCTTGGCAACAAGATTTGGCCTATAATCCTAGCAAAGGACTGAGGTAGACCTCTGGTGACCCAGATGTTTTGGGTGATAGGTGTGGTCTGCAAGAGGTTCCCAGAGGAGCAACACGCGTGTCGTACCAGTGTACAAAGAGGAACAAACAAGACTGGTGATGAGCAGGGGAGGGTGCCATACCCGTGCCTCTGCATGATTTAGAAAAATTATTGGCCTTAGGTTTTCTTCCTTTTTAGGCTGTGTAGGAGGTAAGGCACTCTTAGTCTTAAATTCTTGTTCATCTTCAGTTGTATTTTTTTGGATTAGGAATTTGTAATTATGGAGAGAGTCCTTGTCTTCTTTTCTTTTTATTGTTTTGGCCACTCTACCTGCCAGGCTATTAGAGCCCTACAGTTTGACCCTAAATAAAAGTAGTCATTTTGTATAAAACATGAGATATTAACAGACATTAGAAGTGAGATATTCATTGATTACTTACCACCAATTTCATTGCAGATGATGCTAGCCGAATATCAGAGAGTGAAGTCAAAAATCCCTTCTGCCATTGAGCAACTGATTGTCCCTCACTTGGCCAAAGTGGATGAAGCTCTCCAACCCGGCTTGGCTGCACTGACCTGGACATCACTGAATATTGAGACATATTTAGAAAACACTTTTGCAAAGATCAGTAAGTCTGCCTGAATAATTACTATCTCTGAATTCTGAAGGCTGAGTTCCTAACATCTGTTGTATAATTTCTTATAAATATGGAGATATAAATAATGAAATGGGGAGTGTTATTCTTAAGCTGTTTCATAAGGAATTGTTCCAAAGCATGTGAATTCAGTAATTTCCTGGAAACTATAAATATTCACTATTTAATTTTATCCCCAGAGATTAACCACATATTTTCATTTATTTGTATTTTTGGATATTAGGATTTAAAGTATCTTTAGAGTTATTCAGCTTTTTATATAAATAGGTTAGTATATTTTGAGAGCTTGATTTGAAAGATGTAGAGATTTGGATAGGGTACAGTGCTGAACAACAGGATAAATGGGAAACATTTAAACTAACACAATTTTCATTAAAAAAAGATATAATAGTCTAAAATATATGTAAGGTAGTATATTCCACAAAATGCGATTTTCTGGAATGTGTACAGGTATGTTGCAAAGAAGGCCTCAAATATGTCTGAGAAATCCAGGAGGAGCAGTTGGACAGGTTTCTTTGCTGGATGACTTTTCAGAGCCTTTAACATGCCCGTGTCCATTAGCTCTCCAAAAGTGGCCTTTTGTGTGTGGTATTTCCCAGAATTCCTTGACTGTCTTCCAGGAGGACACATTAACACCTTATAGATCTTCTGTGGCAGACAGTGTAGCACAGTTTGGAACATGGTAATTTTTTTTTTTTTTTTTTTTTTCTCAGAAAGACTTAGACATTGCTATTCTCCTTTCCTAGCCAGTGTCTTGCACCCTCTCCTCTTTATGGCCCAGTCCTCTCCGCTCTTATAGCTCAGAGTAAGTCTTGCCCCCAGAAGCCTACTCTGATTACTCTGCCTCCTGTGACCACTTCTTTCTGCGACCTCCTGTTGGGTTCACATTTGGGACCACAGACTTGATATTTTGGTTGTCTTCTAATGGTTTAGTACAGTTTCATCTTTCTCCTTAAACAGACTGCAAAGGGCCTGAACATCAGGCTGTTTAATTTTTTAACTTTTTATTGTAAACTGATAATTTATAATGGTATAGATTTGTGGATTCTGTGAAGAGGGAGTTGCGTGGGGAAAAATTGATGGGGTACAAAATGGTGTTATGATTTATGAATGCAATGTGAAATAATTAAATCCAGGCTGTTTCATTTTCATACTTGTTTTGTGTTATTCTCTGTTGGGTGTGTAGTAGACACCCATGTACTTGCAGATTCATAATTGCAATAATTTTATATAGTTAGTCTCTCTTCATTTTTTATCATTGTAACCCCAATCCTACCCCTCAAGCCCATTACCTTATTTCTGGATACCTCTTCCTGGGCTTCCCTTTTAGATAGCTCTCATGATGCCTCCTTTTATCCTCTCTCTCTCTCCCCCACTCTGCCCCTCAGGTCTCTCTCTTGTTCTGGTATTTATGGCTGTTAACATAGTACCTAGTCTATTTATAATCTAAATTGTCAAGAGCTTGTCTTTTCAGGAGGTTTTCACTGTACTTTCCTTAGGTTCCAGAAGGTCCAACTATTTAAATAGCCAGGTGCTTTATATTTAGGAATATTTGAGAAGTACTGGGTTGGAGGGGAGTAGAGTGAGAAATTATGGTTGAGCCCATACCTCACCTTTGTTGTGCTTTATAGATTGGGAGCTGGACTCAAAAACAAATGATAATGGAGTTTTTGAATATGAATGAATATCAAGCCAGAGATGCTAAATAAATGGCTTTTAATGTTACAGAGGTGTAACAATGAGTTTAGAACCCAATTTCCTTGCTCTAAATTAGTATTTCTTCCAAAATAAATATTTCTCCCCAGGAAATAAAACAAGAGGAAATTGGCTAAAATTTCCTAAGGAGGAACTTATGAAATGTGTAACAACTTCATAATGAGAGTTATCATAATCAAATTAGAGCAGGCGACCAAGGTAGAATTTAGTAACATCCTTCCTTTAGAACGTTAATATTAGAGTACTAACAATTTGGATGTTTTATTAGAATGTTAGCTGGAGACAAGCTAACGAGTTAGTTTCTAGAGAAACTTCTTGTTCTTGTTTTCTATTATGTTTTTCCTTTTGTAATTTAAGGAACTAAAATAGAACAAAGATTAAGTTTCTTTGCGAGAAAACTATGTAAAATCTCAAGAGCAGTTGGATTTTTATTGGATTAGTGAGCCAGTCCTACTTACAGGTTGTCATTTGCATCATGCATTTAAGAGAATATAGATAATCTGGGACACTCTCCACATAACATGATCCTTAACTTGATCACATCTGCAAAATCTCTTTTGCCATAAAAGGTAACACGCATAGGAGATTAGGATGTGGACATCCTTGGGGACTATTTTTTTCAGTTTAACACAGATGTCCTTAAAGATGAAGCAGTCTGTTAGAAAGAGTAGAGAATTGTATTGCTCACACATACTTAAATGAAAGTGTTGGCTCTCTTTTGGTATTGAATCAATTTACCAGGCAAAACTATTTGGTATGTTGAGTAGCCTCTTTAATAATTAGCTTAGAAACAATAGAAAACTTTTAGGCTTTTATTCTTTAGGAAATAAAGGTATTTATTTAAGGAAGTGTTTACATCTCTGATACATCATTGGTATGTAACGTTGTCTTTCCTGTATTCAATTTCAACTTTATTTTCCAGGAGAAAGGAGTATTAGAAAAAGAGAAATCTTACTGTATGGCATTGTTGAAAAATGTATTACTCTTAGATGGATATCCGTTAGTGATCCTTCTTACTTTTGATGTGCAGTTGTTGTTAGTTTGCTTCAGAGTTGGCCTTTGCATCAGTTGAACTTAGCATTCAATATTACTTCAGCATAACTAAAAATAATTGTACCCTGTGATATTTACACTGAAAGAAAAATTAGGGAACTTTCACTTTAGTAAAATTTGTTGAACACTTCTTGTGGACTAGGCACTGGGTTAAATGTTGAAGATGTAAGGATAAAAAAATATGAATTCTAAAGAAGATAAGACACATGGGTAGACAATCTGCAGAGATGGAAGGCTGTTCCATTTGTGGTTTTACAGAAGGAGGGACCACTCCAATGCACACGGATCACCCAGGGCCTCTGCGGGGAAATGCACTTGAGCCAGATCTTCAAGTATGAGTGAGAGTTAGGCAGGCAGGGGCTGAGAAACTGGTCACAGAGAAGGAATGATGGCCCCAGGAAACAAAACAAAAGGAAATTGACTAAAATTCCCTAAGGAGGCATTTATAAAATGTATTAAAACTTCATAATAAGAATTATCATAAATTAGAACGGGCTACCAAGATAGATTTTCTCTTCTCCCTACAGAATATTAGTATGAGAGAGTTAACAATTTGGATATTTTGTTAGCAACAACCAAGTGTGAAACAGTGGGAATTGGGGGGACACATGTAACTGTGAATCTTTAAAGCTGATTTTACTACTGTCATTTAATCAAGTGTTGATGTTTTTAAAAAACAAAATGCTTTACTTAATTTCTTTTATTTTTTCCCGAAGAGGACCTGGAGTTGCTGCTTGACAGGGTCAATGATTTGATTGAGTTCCGCATTGATGCCATTCTAGAAGAAATGAGCAGCACGCCTCTTTGTCAGCTTCCCCAGGCAGAGCCGCTTACCTGTGAAGAGTTTCTCCAAATGACAAAGGTCATTAAAGGCTTGATTTTTTTGTTTAAAGTTTTTTGGTGATTCATTTTCCTATAAAGGTCACTTTTTTGAAGTTTAAATTAGATTTTTCTCTCTACTTGCAATGCTCTGTGATAGATGTGATTCAAACATGAAATCTTCTGACAATAATTAGCCAATGAAGAGAAATGTATGTAAGTAAACAGTCACTTAGCTATGAGGAGCACATCATTTCAGATCAGTAGGAAAGAAATAATTTTTCCTTTTTTTTTGAGACAGAGTCTCGCTCTGTCGCCCAGGCTGGAGTGCAGTGGCAGGATCTCAGCTCACTGCAAGCTCCGCCTCCCGGGTTCACCGCCATTCTCCTGCCTCAGCCTCCCAAGTAGCTGGGACTACAGGCGCCCGCCACCGTGCCCGGCTAATTTTTTGTATTTTTAGTAGAGACGGGGTTTCACCATATTTGCCAGGATGGTCTCTATCTCCTGACCTCGTGATCTGCCCGCCTCGGCCTCCCAAAGTGCTGGGATTACAGGCGTGAGCCACTGTGCCCGGCCTCATTTTTCCATTTTTTAATGAAGGATAGAGCTGTCTTGCAGAAGTGCTTCTCATCAGCTAGGGTTAATTAACAAAAGAATTGTTTTGAACAGCTTCTAGACAAAATTTCTTCTTTAAACATTTTTGGTGAGGGGGGTTTCCCAAACTGGTGTTCTATAGCACACAATTCTGGAACCATTGCTGGGAATCCTGAGAGAGGCAGGGAGTGAGTGCAAACTGCTTAGGATGAAGGCTGTGCTTACAGATCCACTACACATTAACAGATTAAGATAAAGGCCCTCAGAAGATCTCCGTTTAACTTTTTTTTTTGAGAGAGATGGAGTCTTGTTCTGTTGCCCAAGCTGGAGTGCAGTGATGTGAACTCGGCTCACTGCAACCTCTGCCTCCTGGGTTCAAGCAATTCTCTTGCCTCAGCTTCCAGAGAAGCTGGGACTACAGGCACATGCTGCCACGCCTGCCTAATTTTTTGTATTTTAGCAGAGATGGGGTTTCACCGTATTGCCCAGGCTGGTCTCAAACTCCTGAGCTCAGGCAACCTGCCCACCTCGCCTTCCCAAAGTGCTGGGATTACAGGTGTGAGCCACTGCGCCTGGCCCTTCATTTAACTTTTCCTAGCTCATTATTTCTCCAACACATTTGCAAATGGGACACTTTCTTCCCTGTGCCAGGAGCAAGCTCCTGGGAGCAGCGCTCCACGAAGTGCCCCTTCAGGCATGTCACGTTAGCGTCATTTACAATATTCCCAGTGGGCATCCTGAGGATAAGGACTCCTCGATCATGATTTTAATACGGTGTGTCGGGGTCTCCAAGACCACCCCCACTAGGAGGACTCATGGAACTCAGCACGTAGTTGCACTGCCCTGACATAGTTAAGAGATGCAGCCGAATCACAAGGAACAAAGACAGGTGGTGTCTGGGGAGTCCCTGTCCAGGCTTCCTCATGCTTTCTCCCTCCTGTGAGGCTTACCTGGAGCTCACTGTCCCCTCTGTGCAATGTTTCTGCCCAGGGAAACCTATTAGAGACTCAGGGCCCAAGGTTCTTACTGGGTCTGGTCACACACTGTGCTTAGCATGGATCAGAATTCCAGACTTCCAGAAGGAATCTGGTGTTCAGCATGAACTACATTGTGTGCACAAGCAGTTTAGGCACAGCGAACTATCTTTATCAGCAGGGCAACAGGGGGAACTCTCCCAAAATCCAAGCTTACAGACACCGGCCAAGGTACCACCTCCCAAGCAGGACTTTCTAAGGAGAACAGTTTCAGGCCTGCTGTGTTCACCCCTTTCTGCATGAATGGCAGGTTATATTAAGTCATTTTATACTCAAAACTTACTGTCTACATGTTAGAAATTTCTAGTCCCTCCTCCTCACATTCACTAACTGTGGGTACACCTAACCCTCCCCTTGTTCTTCCGGATCATTTAAGAAACGATCTCTTCCTCTGAGAAATCGCTTGCCTCCATGGTTTTACTCTTACCCCTTTTCTGATGATTGTTTTATAAAAATACACTTGTTTTCAATTTAAAAGAAAGTCTTAGAATATTTTAAAAATGGAAAGAAACTAGTATTTTAATCAAGTATACCATCATTATTATAATATTAATGCATTTTAAGCTTTTTAATAAAGATGTGATCTCTACTCCATATATATCAGGTTTTGAATAGTACTTTTTTCTCCCAGTTAGCATTTCCTCACAAAATACTCTTCATGTTGCTACATGGCTTTCATAGGCAGCCTTTTAATGGTGCCTTCAGAATATTCTACTGTGTTGATATACTGTAATTTACTTACCAGTTTCTTATTGCTGAACCTTTAGATGGCTTCCAAAGTTTTGCTAATTCGTCAAGAGCTGCAGTGAATATATGCATGTATCATGTGTTTTCTCCTTTAATATTATTCCCTCCCCCAAAATAAAATTATTGTGTCAGAGAGTATGGCCTTATTGGATGGCTCTTGATATTGGTAGCAAAATTGCTTTTCAAAGGGATGTTACCAACTTAGAATGCCACCAGCAATCAGTAGTACCAATTTTACTTCCAACAAACACTGTTTCATTATAGTTTCCTACTTTTAGCTTAAGTAGCAAAATCGTGGAACCCAATTTGAATTTGGATTTTTGATTACCAATATAGGTATTAGTAAATCATTTCTCTTGAATTTGTTTATTTTTCATAATTCAGTTATGGAGAAAAATGAAAAGGATGATGGAGAAAAATGAAAAGGATGATGGAGAAAAGGAGTTACCTGACAGAAAGTTGTGATTTTATGTCCATGGTCAGTGATGACTTCTGTGGTTAGATTTGAAGGGAGGGAGTGAGAATGCAAGCCATGTGAACATTTTAGGGGAAGAACATGCCAGGCAGAGAGAATAGCATGTGCAAAGGCTCCGAAGTGGAAGCATGTTGCAGCTGGAGAAAGGTGTTGAGTTGAAGTACATTGGGTGTTCATATGCTCAGGTGGAAAATCAACAGAGAGGAAGAAAGGGGTAGGCTTGGTTTCTGAGGAAGCCAGAGAAGCTGTGATTCAGAGCTCAAGTTGTAGAGTTAGCTTTGAATAAAAGGAGAATGATTGCATTCACTGAAACAAGAGGAAAAGGGGCTCCTGATGGAGGCCGATTTGTCTTCTGCATGAGTGTAGTGGGAGTTGTTTGAGTCCCTGTGTCATGACCTCTATTTGCTTTGTGCTGTAGAAATCAGGGTCATTCTTTGAGTATGATAAGGAAGGATGGTATAACAACTTGAGGACACAGGGATTTGAAGACACAGCTCTTATGAAGCTTGGTAGAGGGAAGTGGCTATAGTCATGTAGAATGATTCCCAAGTAGCATTAGGGGCCAGTTTGAGTTCGGGGACCATGAATTTCCAGTGCCAAGCATCTGCATCACCATGACCTATGCATGCCGGTGGAAAGGGTAGGTCACCTGGTTCATTTGGGTTGGGCTTCTCCTGGGTGGGGCAGTGGAAGGTTCAGAGAGTGATGGAGTGAAGGATATTAGCAAAATAATGATTGAAGTGTGAAATCATGTTAGGAGAGGGCATGAACCAGGGAGTAAGGGTGAAGAGACCTGGAGAAGACGTGGCATCTAGTGGATTCCTGGTTTGCCAAAGCCGAAGCATCATGGGAATGAGGAAATGGTGGAGCTCCACGCTGATTATTCAAGGAGGACACCATTCAGGATTCAAAGACAGGCCCTTTTAGTGGGTTTCAGCTTTTGGGTGTCATCATGGAGGTTAGTTGTTGAAATGAAGCAGGATAAGTAGAGTCAGCTTCTTTCATTTATTTTATTTGTCCTAGGAGATATTTTAATGAGTCTATTTATTACTTCTTTTTCCTCATTGTGTTTATATTCTGCTTTGTTAATTTCTATGCTGTTTACATTTTTATGGTTATGCCTTCTCACAGAGAGAAAGAGTTAAGAGATGTAAACAATGTTGTTGGAACTATATTAGTCTTTGAGAGGTTATCAGTCTTATCTTCTAGAACCCTCAATACAAAGGAATTTTATGATTTCAAACACGTGTTTGTGTTACTGAGAGGACTGAAAGAGCTGCAAGTTACTTGATGATTCCCTGTGAGAGCTGGCCCTGAGAATGGAGACCACATGTGTGTTTCTCTCCAAGGTAGAGTCAGAGGACTTAAGATTCAGACTTTAAAAAATATTAGTGTTCTCTCAGAGAACTGAGGAGTTAGTTTACATAGAATGAGATGACTGACCTTTGCAAATATTTAGGTTTTGTGGATGTTTGTGATTTTCCAACCAGTAATAACAACGAGCACTTCTTGTGTGCTTACTTTATGCCAGGCACTGCTCTTAGTGTTTTACTTGCATTTGTTTTATGGAGTACTTGCAAAAACTACAGTGAGTTCTACTATTATCACCATTATACATATGAGGGAATTGAGACTGAGAAGGATTTTCAGGATCATGCAGAGCAAGGATTTGAATCCTAGTTTCAAGCCATATAAGTTTAAAGATGTGTAATGCTGGAACTTGGAATGGAGCTGGACACTGTGCCTAACTGACAGTCTGTTGTTTCATGGGCTTACTTTCCGACTAGGTGGTAAATCACTGATTCTGTCTGTATCATCCATCTATAACTATCTGTCTACCTAATCTCCTCCAGAATTGATCACCATGCCCCAAATCATGTTAGTTTATATTTATTAAATCCATTCTTGAGAAATGTACAATATAGTTAGAGGGCTGGGTAATGTCTGAAATTAATGAGGGGATGACTATGGTTTGTTGGCAAAGACAAGGAGAGAAAGAAGGGTGGCTGGATCCGATTTATGTGATATGAAGGAAATGTGATGGGAAGAGAGGCTGCTGATGGCTTTTGAAGGTATTTTCTCTACTGATGGAGAAGTGCCTGTAATTCTGGTCCATCTACACTGATCCAGTTGGTTCCCTTGTCCTTAACAATTTCCTTTACAGGACGCCTGGCCTGTGCTAGTGTGAAGGATGTGGCCAAGCATCACTGGGGCTAAAATCTCACCTGGAGGCTGAGCCACAGCATTCCTTCCACTGCTTCTGTGCTCTCAAGAGCTAGATAAACAATATACAATATACCACTGTGCTATCTTTTTTTTTTTTTTTTTGGTTAGAATCTTTGTGTAAATGGTGCACAAATACTACATTTTAAAAGCTCATTAGTGGAGGAGGCAGTCAATGAGCTTGTAAATATGTTGCTGGATGTGGAAGTTTTATCTAAAGAAGAAAGTGAAAAAATATCCAATGAAAATAATATTAATTACAAAAATGAAAATTCAGGTAAGAGATGGGGTAATGAAAGGGTCTTGTTTTTCTATGATATTTACTAAAAACTAAAACTGAATTTTCTACATAGCAATTAATTTCATACTTCTATAAAACATCCTTTCAATTTTCTAATGATGTGTATAAATCTGAAATTATGGCCCTGAACATATTTTAGTGACTCTATGTTGTTAATTCTTACTACTTTTGGTTAAACTGTGCAAACATGCACTTTTCATTGGCCCTTGTTAGCTTTCTTTGCATTTATGTATGGGTGGGTGTTTTATTTTACCTTATCAATAGAGTTGGATGGATGATTGATTGGAATTCCCCTCAGAGAGCATCTAGACCGAGCAAACCTTTTGCAGGACAGAGGAGAACACTGAGATATGAAGAAGGGAAATTATCCCCCCAAAGTTTTAGGGCTATTGGTGGGAGGTAGCACCAGAACCCAGGCCCTTGGGGGCCAGTGTAGCTTTTTCAGTTCTTGCCTCTCTTGTTGGCTGTTTTCTCATACTGAGAAGGAGATGCCTCCATCAATCCATCTGATTCCTGATTTCCTCCTCCTACTTTTTGATGTCCTCACTTCCTAAGAAGTGTGAGGTTTAAGTGATATTAAACTTGCATGTAATTTATCCTTTAGTTGCAACAGATGATTCTATCTATCTATCTATCTATCTATCTATCTATCTATCTATCTATCCATCTAACTTATCGCTATCTCTTTCATCTTGTAACAGCAAAAAGAGAAGAAGGAAATTTTGACACCTTGACATCATTCATTAATGCCAGAGCCGATGCCCTGTTTTTGACGACAGTCACGAGGAAAAAGAAAGAAACTGAGATGTTAGAGGAAGAAGCCCGCGAGTTGCTCTCTCATTTCAACCATCGGAACATGGATGCTCTTCTGAAAGTTACAAGGAATACACTAGAGGCCATTCGCAAACGCATTCATTCCTCTCACACAATTAACTTCCGGGGTAATAATCTCATATGGTTTGCTTAGTGAATGATCAGGATAGTTGCTTATGTGTGTGTGTGTGTGTGTGTGTGTGCATGCATGTGTACATTCCTGTTAAAATTAAATAATTAAAAATATCCATCATTTATTTTTTAATTTTAATTTTTATTTTTGAGATGGATTCTTGCCCTGTCTCCCAAGCTGGAGTGCAGTGTCACGATCTCTGCTCACTGCAACCTTCGCCTCCTGGGTTCAAGTGATTCTCTGGCTTAGCTGCCCAAGTAGCTGGGAGTAGCCGCCATGGCTGGCTAATTTTTTGTACGTTAGTAGAGACGGGGTTTCACCGCGTTGCCCAGGCTGGTTGCAAACTCCTGAGCTCAGGCAATCCACCCGCCTCGGCCTCCCAAAGATTACAGGCGTGAGTCACTGCACCTGGCCATATCCGCCGTTTATTTAGTGCCTTCTTGTAGTTTTAAACATTATGAACTTGATCATCCCAACAATTCTATTAAGTAGATACTATCTTTACTCTCATGTTAAATCAGAGAACTAGAGCACAGCACAGGGAGGTTAAACAGTTTGCTTAAGCTTTTGTTAATAACATGAAAATTGGTAGTACGTTTAGTCTTTTTGTAATAAGATGAAAATATATAAAATTATTTTAATTGGTGAAAGAAAAAGGTACATACTTTAAAAGAAGTTATATGGAAAAGATTCTTTCATTGTTAAATCATTAGGTTTGTCAGCCAGTCTTACAAAGTGGAAACATCTTACTAATGTCACACTCTTCAAAGGATATGTATGTATTTTACTATTTTTATGCTAATTTAGTACTTTCTAGCTGGTTTCCTCATTTTCAATAGCATCGTCTTTTCCTCAGCACAGTTCAGAAACAGGTGATGTATTTCTCAGGTGGGCCACAAAGATCCGTCAAATCTAGAGGCATCCTGAAATTAAATTTTAAGTTAAAAATGGTGAAAAGAAAACAAATAATAGTAATTAATGAAAACTCAAATAATAGGATAATAAAATCTTTTTATGTATCTTGAATATTGGCATTTGAAGGAAAACATCTTTAATATTTAATTAAAAGTGGGTAAATAAAAGTGGAAACGCTGAAAGATTTTTGTTTGTTTGTTTGGTGCCATGGAGTATTATGTTTTACTTCATTCAAGATGGAGGATAGTTCTTTCTTTTGACACAGAGTTATTATTAGAACTTAATAAATGTTGGCTGATAGGCTAAATATTCAATCACAATTATTTATCAGCTTTTGTATTACAGATATTTGCAACTACGTAAAGTTATGTATGATGTAAAGTTATGTATGATACATACATGTCTATATCTACATACCTATACCTGTGTTCCACCTTTAAAGCTCCTTCAATATGAATGGCAAATTGTGCTTTATTTCTTTTCCATTTTTTTTAACTACTCCACATTTGGATTATACACACCATGGTAGGAAAGATCTATGTTTTATCTGAAATTCCAAAGTGGTTATTTATTCTAACTTTGGCTTATGCCGATAGTCTTGTTCTTCATTCCTGGCTTACTTAGTTACATTTAACTAATTTGTTGGCATCCTGTTATTTGGAAGAATCATCTTTAATATTTTAGAGAAGTGTTTATAATTTAGCCTGATCCCACACAGTGGGTTTCTTTGTGGAGAGTATTCCAAGAAGCTGTAAACAGCAAAAAGTGCCTTGGGTTCCCCTGAATTGCTTTGTTATATTCAGCAATACCAGATCCTCCATGAGTTTTAATTGACTCATTCATTCAACAAGTATTTATTGGATTTTATAGCTATTATGTATTGTTTTAATTCTTATGGTTACAAAGGAAACAAATCTTATTTTAAATTAAAAATGTGAATTATTCCTTGTTTTGGGTTAACTCAGACAGTAACAGTGCCTCTAACATGAAGCAGAACAGTCTGCCCATTTTCCGGGCAAGCGTCACTCTGGCCATTCCCAACATCGTCATGGCCCCTGCCCTGGAAGATGTACAGCAGACCCTGAACAAAGCCGTGGAGTGCATCATCAGTGTCCCTAAGGGGGTCAGACAGTGGAGCAGCGAACTGCTGTCCAAGGTGGGTGTGGGGCGCAGGAATGGTTTCATATGGAAACCACTTCTTTTACAGATGGGACAGAGCTGAAAAATATCCTTTTACATTGTAGAAAAAGATACAAGAAAGAAAAATGGCTGCTTTGCAGAGTAATGAAGACAGTGATTCTGATGTTGAAATAGGAGAAAATGAACTTCAAGGTAAATGTTCTTTTAGTCTTTTAAAAGAGGCATTGTAAATCAACATTCATTGAACTTAAATGTGTTTTAACCCCTCCATGTAATTCTCAATTTATTTTAGATCAGAATATTAATCTATGATCCAATTTGAAGTTGACAAAGTATCAAGGTCCATGTATTTTAATATCATACTTTTAGTTGACTCCTGTTAATATGGTGAATCACATTTATTGATTTGCATATATTGAATAAATCTTGCATCCAGGGGATAAATTTCACTTAATCATGACGAATGATCTTTTAAATGTACTGTTGAATATAGTTTGCTAGGATTTTGTTGAGGATTTTTGCATTTGTGTCCACCAGTGATATTGGCCTGTAGATTTTAAAAATTGTAGTGTGTGTGACTAGCTTTGGTATCAGGGTAATGCTGGCCTTGTAAAATGAGTTTGGAAGTATTCCCTTCTCTTTAATTTTTTGAAGTGCTAGAGAAATATTAGTATTAGTTCTTTGAATGTTTGATAGAGTTTAGCTGTACAACCATCTGGTGGTAGGCTTTCTTTTGATGGTAGACTTTAAATTACTGATTTGATCTTTTTTCTTACTATTGGTCTGTTCAGATTTTCAATTTCTTCTTGATTCCATCGTGGTAGATTAATTATATGTTTCTAGGAATTTATTCATTTCTTCTAGGTTGGCACAAAATTGTTCTTAGCATTCTCATGATAATTTGTATTTTTGGGTTATCAGTAGTAATATCTCCTTTCATTTGTGATTTTATTTACTTGAGTCCTCTTTTTTACTTAGTCTAGCTAAGGATTTGTCAATTTTGTGTAGCTTTTCAGAAAAACAACTTTTCGCTTCATTGATCTTTTCTATTGTTTTTCTAGTCTCTATTTCATTTGTTTATGCTCTTATCTTTATCTCCTCCCTTCTGCTAACTTTGGGCTTGTTTGTTCTTCTTTCTCTAGTTCTTTGAGTTGTAACGTTAGGTTATGTATTTGAGATCTTTCTCCTTTTTTGACTTAGCTGTTCGTTTTGCTATACTGTTTCCTCTTAGAACTGCTTTTGCTGAATTCAGTAAGTTTTGATATGTCGTGTTTCCATTCTCATTTGTCTCAGGATGTTTAAAAATTTCTCATTTAATTACTTCTTTGATCTGATTTGAGAAGTTTTTTTCAGAAGCATATTGTTTTATTTTCACATATTTAAAACATTTGCATGATTTTTCCTGTTTGATTTTTTTCCTGATTGATTTCTAGTTTCATACGATTGGTTTGGAAAAGATATTTGTTATAATTTGATCTTAAGTTTGTGAAGGAAGACTCGTTTTGTGGTCTAACATATGATCCATCATAGAGAGTATTCTGTATGCACTCTAGAAGAATGTGTATTCTGTTTCTGTTAGATGGAATATTCTGTCTGTTAGGTATATTTGGTCTAAAGTGTCATTCAATTTAGTATTTCTTTATTGATTTTCTGTTTAGATGATCTGTTCAATCGTGAAAGTAGGGTATTAAAATCCCCTGCTGTTATTCTGTTCTAGTCTGTCTCTCTCTTCAGATCTCTTATTATTTGCTTTATATAGTTAGATGCTCCAATGTTGGGTGTATATGTATTTACAATTATAATATCATTTTGAAGAATTCATTCCCTTATTGTTATATGATGATCTTTGTCTCTTTTTACACTTTTTGATCTGAAGTCTATTTTGTGTTTTCATTTATATGAACTATATTTTTTCATCCCTTCACTTTCAATCTATGAGTGAACTTTAAGGTGGAATGAGTCTCTTGTAAGCAGCATATAGTTGGGTCTTTTTGTGATCTTTTAATCCATTTGGCTACTCTATGCTTTTTGATTGGCGTATTTAATACATTTACATTCAAAGTAATTGTTGATAGGTACAGACTTACTCTTGCCTTTTTGTTAATTGTTTTCTGGTTGTTTTGTAGATCCTTTGTTTCTTTTTTCCTTTGCAGTTTGATAGCTTTCTATAGTGATATATTTTGAATCTTTTCTTTTTTTTCTTTTGTGTGTCTGTTGTAGCCTTTTGTTTTGTGTTTACTCTGAGCCTTACATAAAACATGTTATACTTATTATAGGCTATTTTAAGTTGGTAACAACTTAATTTTGATTGCATATACAAATTATATACTTTTACTCCCCACCTTATACATTTTAAGTTTTTTGATGTCACACTTTACACATTTTTATAATTTGTATCTCTTAATAAATTTGTGTAGCTCTAGTTGTTTTTAGTAGTTTTGCCTCTTAACTTTTTTACTGGAAATATTAATGATTTACCCACCACCATTACAGTATTGGAGTGTTTTGGATTTGCCAATATACTTACTTTTATCAGTGAGTATTACATTTTCATATATTTTCATGTTACTAATAAATATCTTCTTCCTTCAGCTTAATCTCCATTTAGCATTTCCTGTAAGGTGGGTCTTGTGGTGATAAACTCTCAGCTTTTGTTTGTATGAGAAAGTTTATACCATCCCTTTGTTTTTGAAAGATATTATTGCTGGATATAGTATTCTTAGCAGTTATTTTATTTCAGTATTTTGAATATATCACTTCACTCCCTTCTAACCTGCAAGGCTTCTGTTAAGAAATCTACTGATAGTCTTATGAATGTTCTCTTACATATAATGAAACACTTTTCCCTTGCTACTTTCAACATGAACTCTTTCTTTATCTTTAGCTATTGACAATTTCATTATAATGTGTCTTGGTGTGAGTGTTTTTGAATTAATCTTATTTAATGTCCTTTGGGCTTCCTGGAGCTGGCTTTCTATTTCCTCCCCCAGGCCTGGAAGTTTTTGCCATTATTTCACTGAGTATGTTTCCTCTCTCTTTCTTTTCTCTTTCTGGCAAGCCAATAATTCATAAGTTGTTCCTCTTGATGGTGTCCCATAAGTCTGTTAAGATATCTTCATTCTTTTTATTTTTTGCTCCTCAGATTGGATGATTTTTCAGTGACCTCTCTTTGAATTCCCTGATTTTTTTTCTCCTTCTGCTTGATCTAGTCTTCTGTGGAAACTATTAAATTTTTGTGTTCAGTTATAGCATTCTTCAGTTCTATATTTGCTGTTTGGTGCTTTTTTAACTTTCTGTCTTTGTTGAAGTTCTCAGTTTGTTTTTGTATTTCTGTCTTGATATTGGTGAGGACCTTTATGAATATTACAGATGGTGCCTGACTTACAATGGTTTGGCTTCACCAAGTCAAAAAAAAAGTTCTTTTTGACTTTAATGGGGTTATCAGGATGTAACTTTATAGTAAGTCAAGGAGCATCTGTACTTTGAATAGTTTGACTTACAATTTTTTTAACTTTATAATAGGCTTACTAGGGTATTAAGTGCATTTTTGACTTATGATGGATTTATTGGGATGTAACCTCATCATAGGTCAAGGAGCATCTGTATTTTTAATTCCATGTCAGATAAATCACATATGTCCACTTCACTCAGAACAGTTTCTGGAGGTTTATTTTGTTATTTTATTTGAACTGTATTTCCCTGTTTTTGTTCATTTTCTTTGACCCTCTGTGTTGGTTTCTGTGTATTATAAAAGACAGCTACCTCTTTCAGTCTTGTCAGACTGACCTCATGTGGGAGGATCTCACTACTTTGACTAGCCAGAGATTTCAAGATGCCTCTCTAATCTTAGTGTTTGTCCAGACTGCTTTCTCTGTTTTTTGTCCCCCCTACCCTGGAGGTTCGGATATGGTATGTCCTGTCAGTACCCCTAAGATTGGTAAGGTAGGAGCCAGATCCTCTAGATGTAGCTGGAAATGTTGGCATGTTGAATGCGTGCTCCAATTTTTCCTGTCTTCACAGTGAAGCTGAACACAGGCATTTACCTTCAGTTCTTTGCATTAAGCCAGAGAGAGGATCTGTGGCAAATGCCTGCAATCATGTTCAGGCCGCATCATCTGATTCTGGGGAGATAAGTGATTGAAATTGGCCCGTTGTACATCCACCTCTTTGTTTTCCATGGTCTATGGCTATTCAAAAGTGCAAAGACCCACTGACTCCCAGAGCTAGCTAGATCATTAAAAAGACAGTACTTTGGGTAGGAGCTATAGAAGTTATGGCACTTGGTGCATGTCGTAACTCCTTCCAGAAAGAATGGCTAGGCCTAGGCTTATCACTAGGTGAGCCAGAGGGAAAACCCATGAAGTGCTGAGCTCTGGCTCCAGCTTCTGGAGGGGTCCTGTTTGTTTGCCTCATTAGCTCTCTGATGTATGGTTTTTAGAAGCCAGGCCATCAAGTAGCCACTAGGGGGTGTGCCAGAAGCCCCTTCCCAGAAAGAAAATGGAAGCTGCACATTCTTGATCCTTTTCTGCATTGTTCTGAGGGGGTGTAGCCCCTGGTAGTGTTTCCATGTCCATTTAAACTTCCTTTCTGTTTTGTGATCTAGGGAAATTCACGTATGCCTAATGCCCTTTCTTCACGTAGCTAAGAGGTTTAGGATTGAGTCCTTTGGGAGGTGGCTACAGAAGTTGGGGCACTCAGTGCCTAGCATTAACCCCTTCTGGACAGAAGCAGAAACCTGTGTTTTTTAAGCCCCTTCTCTGCACTGCTCCTGGGGGACAAAGCCTGTTGAAGTGCTTATGTGCTCATATTAAATGGCCGCTTCTTCCTGTGGTCTAGAGAGACACACAAATGCCAGTCCGTCTGCTCCCAGAGATGGGAGTTTTAGAATGTAGTTCCTTGGGTGGAAGCTGTAAATGTTGGAGCACTTGGTGTGAGGGAGAAACAAGGGGCCATGGTTTTAAAGCCCCATTTCTGCACAACTTCCGCGGAATGAAGCCTCTGTAAGTGCTTCATGCCTGTGTGAAGCCCTCACTGTTTTCTTGTGGTCTAGGGAGACTCTTGTGTGTCCAATCCACTCCACTCTCAGAGCTGCTGAATTAAGAGCCATGGGGAACCTTAAGAGTTATGGTGATACATGTGAGGTCCAAAGTCTCATTTCCACAGAGAGAAGCTGTGTGTTGCAGATTCCTTTCCCAATTCTCTGGTTCAGTGCCCAGGGCAGGATCCGTGTCCAAGTGTGTCTCTACTTTTCCTGCCCATTTGATGGGGATGTGTTTTTGGTTATAACATAAGTAGGAGGCTCTCCCTAGGTCTCTGACTTTCTCTCAGATGGGATTGATCTGAGAATAGATGTATATTGGGTATGTCCATGGGTGGAAGGAGAGCCAGGACCTTCTTATTCAGCCATGTTACTGACTTCATTCTTCTCATTCCCCAGATTTTTAACTTCTTTGGCCAATCTCTTACTTGCCCCCAACTAATATCATTGCCTCAGGCAGCTGTGAAGTTAAGCAATTGTTGCTGATAGTCTTTTGACAAATGCTTTGGGGGTAGGACTTTTTTTCTCAGAGAGTTCTGAATCAGGTCAAATAAAAATTAACTATTTGAACAAGGCTTTTCCAGGGAGCTCCCAGACAGCTCAAAGAGTGAGAATTCTGTGGAGCTCCCTAAGGAGCTCCAAGCCCAGGCTGGCCCTTCCAGGGACTGCTAGGCTACTGGTGGTTTTTTTTTCCCTCCAGTAATGGTTGTAAGGCTGCTGTTTTTCAAGGCTACCCGGCTACCCTATAGCCAGAGAGCGGCAGTGGGACTAGAGCAAGTCAAAACACCACAAAACTTGCTGCTGTCACCAAGATTCAGCATTGTTCTTGAATAAACACTTTCTGGATTATTGCAAGTTTGATTAATTTACAGAGACCTGAAAAGTTGACATTGACAATTCTTTCCATTGTTTTCATTGCTTTTATAAAGGAGCAGATTTTCAGAAGTCCTTGCTTTACTATTACAGAAATATCCTCATCTTCTAAAAGTACATCTTTTGCTAGTAAAGTTTTCTCTTCTTTTTTTCTTTTTAGATACCTTGGAGATAGCATCTGTAAATTTACCCATTTCCGTGCAAACCAAGAACTATTATAAGAATGTTTCTGAAAACAAAGAGATCGTAAAATTAGTTTCTGTACTTAGCACAATTATCAACTCCACCAAAAAGGTATGTCAAGAGGGTCTGGCAGCCAGACCTTTTACTTTGCAACATGCATTTGTGTGAGGGTGATCATCACAAGGTTGTTCTGTATGTAGCCTGGGTCTTACCCACTGTACTTTTTGGGGACAGCTAATGGCATCTTGTGTGTGCTCAGCAAATGTTTATCTAACTGAAGATCTTTCATTCTAGATTGCAAGGTGAAAGAAAATTATTCCTACTCTCATACTGTGTTTTGTTTAATGCCTTTAATATCTTCTTTTAATGCAAATGAATCTAACTTAAAAAAAATCTAAAATGTTCCAAACTACAAGTCAGACTGTTGTTATAATTCACCTTCAAAGAACCAATGATACTAACATATTTGAAACAGAATAAGGTTTGTAGTCATTTTTTCATATTTGAGTAGTCAGGCAAATGTTATAAAATATCAGATAAAAATTTATTTATATTGCCACATAGAAATTAGATGAAACTGAGAATAAAGAAGATATTAGTACTATCAATACAAACTTGAACTGGAAATGAATGTACATTCAAGGCAATTTTTTCTTTCAACATAATCTCCTCTCAACTTCCCCTTTTTTGTTCATGCAAATCTATTTTACAGACAAAAGGATGTAAAACCCTGAAGTCATCTTTTATTTTTTTAAAAAAAACTCTTCTAATTCACATGGCCAGTAAGACTTGTTGACTTGTTAATAATGTTTCCCAGTGTGTAAGGAATAGTTGTTGTTCAGTGAGTGCATTTTTGTATTCCTCAGTTTTGATACAATGAGTTACATTCATTTGAAAGCACTCTGAAAAGCTACCATTGCTGTAACAATGTAAGGAAATACTATTAAGTTTAGTTTTAATGTGTTCCCAAGGGAACTGGACATCTTTTGTATTTATTCACTTTTAATTTTCCTTTCTTAATATATCGAAGGTCCTGTATTTAATTTTCCCCTAGGAACAGTATTCATATAACTCAATAAATATTTATCTAGTACTTAGATTATTAGGCTCTATACTGAATGGTAAGCAAAGTATTCCATGATAACAATAAATATTCAGAAATATTTTCAAGTATCTCAGTATTCCTAGAAAATAAAATAAAATAAATCAGCAATAAGATCCACTAGTTTCTCTAGTATGATCAACTGCTATTATGAAAATCTAAGAGTAAGAAATCATAGTTAAAATTAACACACAGTGCTGGCAACAAAATACTTATCTCTGTGTCTTTGTTTTGAGAAGAGGTTACACTCTTGTTGCCTAGGCTGGAGTGCAATGGTACAGTCTTGGCTCACTACAACCTCTGCATCCCAGGCTCAAGCGATTCTCCTGTCTCAGCCTCCTGAGTAGCTGGAATTAGAGGCATGTACCACCACACTCTGTTAATTTTGTATTTTTAGTAGAGATAGGGTTTTGCCATGTTGGTCAAGCTGGTCTCGAACTCCTGACCTCAGGTGATCCACCTGCCTGGGACTCCCAAAGTACTGGGATTACAGGCATGAGCCACCGCGCCCGGCCTCTCTGTCACTTTTATTACATTTGCTTTTATATGAAGGAAATGCTCAGATATTAGTTTTCTTAAAATAGTAGAAAAGGTTGGCATTTATAACAACTTGAAGAACTTACTCCAGATTTATAGGATAGCCAAATTGTTTCTGGGAGAATATATGTACTCTTAGTCATAGTATTAGATATAGCCAGCCCTTCACAGCCATAGACCTTTCTGAATGATTCTGCCTCAACCACAGAAAATCCTATGATCCCTGCCCCTTTCCTGTTGCTGTAGCTGATTGGATTAGAGTGTAAACCCAACCTGCCTTTAGCATGCCCATAGGTTGGTCATCAGCTTATAACACAACCTGGCTTGAAAAGATGAGCTGAGGCTGGATGTGGTGGCCCATGCCTGTAATCTCAGCACTTTGAGAGGCCAAGGTTAGGGATCACTTAAGGCCAGGAGTTTGAGACCAGCCTGGCCAACATGGCAAAACTCTGTCTCTACTAAAAACACAAAAATTAGCCAGGCCTGCGTGGTGGATGTCTGAAATCCCAGCTACTCATGAAGCTGAGGCATAAGAATTGCCTGAACCCAGAAGACAGAGGTTGCAATGAGCTGAGATGGTGCCACTACACTCTAGCCTGGGTGACAGAATGGGACTCCATCTCAAAACAAACAAACAAACAAACTACGTTGAGCTGGACCAAACAATCAAAATAACCTTGGTTACATAATCAGAACAACTCTACATGTGTAGTTCATCCAATTTTCCTATTGAGGTCATTTTCCTTTTGAGGTCTAGGTTACCTCCATGTGAAAAACTTCTAATTTAATAAAGACAAACACTTTAATATAAAAGAATACCCTCCAACATATTTAGTTAGAGTATACTCTTAATATTATAAGCTTGGGTGTTGAGAGAGCTCCAGATTCTGGAACTTCTACCCATTTCTGGGAATCTTCAATAATCTGTAATTAATTCTTCAAACCATCATACATATGTGATTACGTCTACATGCCATTGCAATGCATTCTCGGTCTGCATGTCAACACTTCAGTTCACGCAAACGAATCATTTATGGTTGGGACAGGCAGTGATAGGTTTAGCTTTCTGCATTTTAATGGATGGGAAGTATCACCATCCATTAAACCTGAGGCTCTGAGGGAGTTGGAGTGGAACTGCTTCTTGGTTTGGTGCAGATTGGTGCAATTTACTTAAAATAATCAGACCATTTAGAATCCTGTAATGCTCAATTATTTCAAATAATTGCATTTGTTATTCTTTATCAGTTAAATTTATTTTTCATGCAGATGTGACTCTGAAATTATAATATAAGGCAGTGGAAAAACTTGATTCACAAAGGAATTAGAAACGAAGAGACAAATTTTTTGGCTACACGCAGTGGCTCATGTTTGTAATCTCAGCACTTTAGGAGGCCGAGATGAGAGGATCACTTGAAGCCGGAAGTTTCAGACCAGCTTGGGTAACACACCGAGATCTTGTCTCTATGAAAATAAATGAACAACAACAAAAAAATTAAATAGAAAAGAAAAGACAAAATTTTAGTTATTTGTAGATGATTCAATTGTCTACCAAGTAAATCCAAGAGGCTAATCTGAAAAAGAAATTGTGGCCCAAAAAGAGTTAAGTTAGTCATCAATGGAAAGATAATTATATGATTTTTTCATAGAATACAATAAACATGTTCCTGAAAATCATCCTGTTTTGAGAAGTTGCATATTTAATATTAAATAATAGGGATTATGAGAAAAACAAGATTGAGGCAGACACAAAATCTATGCAATTTGTAACCAGAGTAGTAATAAAAACAATAATAATCATAGTAAAATATTAACGGTAACAATCATAGTAAAATATTCACACATTTAATAACACTATAGTAATTACAGAACTTTACTATAAAAGATGAAAGAAGGTTGGTAGAAGTGGGAAAAGGAACAGTTGAAGTTGTGGAGCGTAGAAGCAAAGATAAACTCTACAAAAAACAGGCCAAACTCTGCATTCTTTCTTTCTTTCTTTCTTTCTTTCTTTCTTTCTTTCTTGTTGTTCTTTCTGCTTTGATTGGTATTTATTTATTTATTTATCTACTTTTATTTGTACACATTTATGGGATACATGTGCAATTGTGTTACATGCATAGATTGCATAGTGGCCAAGTCTGGGATTTTAGGGTATCCATCACCCAAATAATGTACATTGCATCTATTAGTGAATTTCTCATCACCCTCCCTTCTGAAGCTGATGAGAAATCTGACTCTTCTGAGTCTCTATTATCTATAATTCTGCTCTCTATGTCCATGAGAAAACATTTTTTTAAGCACTAACTTATGAGTGAAAACAATATGCAAAGATATTCTTAAGACAGGTGGTAGCAAAATCAGTCCAAAAGGAAGAAGTGATGGAGGGGGCGTAGCACACAGGGCTGTACTCCTCTGTGGCTTGCTGCTTTAGCTGGTACAAAGCAGTAGCATTTGTTTTGCTGGGAAAAATAGCATTTGAAAACATGACCTCTGCATTAGATCAATACTATCCCCTATTTACCAATTGCCAGAGAGTCATTTCATCTTTACAGATGCATACTTGGTTAGCAAACTAGACTGTTCATTTACAAAAAAATTTTTAAAAATGTATATGCCATTCATAGCCAGTTATAATAATAGTGGAAAAGATCTTGTTTACAGTGACAACATCATTGGAAAATACCTAGAAACATGTGTAATAAGAAGTATCTGGGGTCTCTATGAAGATTACCCTAAAACTTAATAAGAAATTTTTGAAAAAGATGACAAGATACGGAAACATGCACTGTGTTCCTGGTTGGTAAGATGCAGTATTGTTCAGATGTCAATTTTTGTTATATGAATTTATACATTTTATGTGATTCCAGGCAATCTCTCATTGGAGTGATGTTGGCTATGTTCTGTTTGTCCTTCATGCCCCTAAGATCTAATCTCCACCCCCTCCACCTATCTGACCTTAGGCAACATGTCAGTAGATTCCCATTGAGGCTTCCAGTGGGTTCAGTCAATGAAGAAGCTTTGAGGAGATCTGAGGGGAGCGGGGACAGAGGAGAATGACCTCAGAGGATGTTTTCCATGGCACCCTCCCTGTAGTGGGACCTTGAGCTGTGGTTTTTGACCTAAGGCCCAGCTCCAAGCAAGAGGGTCCTGTGCACAGCATCTTCAAGGACTCTCTTCTAGTTTCTAGAAACCGCTCCTCTCCCATTTGGCTAGGGATGATAACAGTGAAACTGCTACTAGCCCTGGGCCACTGTCCACACTATTGTATATAGTCCCAGTTCAGTTCTTTGGCATTTCCAGATAATCACACAGTTCACTCAACATTTTAATAAATCCATAGGAACCATCAGCAGTTGGCAAATACTCACTTATATCATCATGCCATTCCAGATTCTTCCTTCTTAACGTAAATCTGTTGTTATTTGCATTCAGGAAGTTATTGCATCCATGGATTGCTTCAAACGCTACAATCACATTTGGCAAAAGGGGAAAGAAGAAGCCATTAAAACATTTATTACACAGAGCCCCTTGCTCTCTGAATTTGAGTCCCAGATCCTCTATTTCCAAAACCTAGAGCAGGAAATTAATGCTGAGCCTGAATATATCTGTGTGGGTCCCATTGCTCTGTACACAGGTTGGTTCATTTTCTTTCATATAGTTATATCAATTAGCCAGCATTGTTCTGTCCCTTTACCTAGGTTAGTATTCCAGAGAGTTCTACCTGTCTTAAAGACTGACTTTATGGGCCTCAAGCTAAAAGACCAATTTGTAGATTTTTTAAAAATTTCCTTCTGTATAATTATTGATTCTGGACTATTTTGAACACTTTGCTGCTAAACCTTGAAAAAAAAGGCTAAGTCAGAGAAACGTGTGTTATATTTTGAATTAGAATTTACCCTTTATTTAATAAGTAACAATAGCAAACATTTGAGGATTATCCCAGAGGGTTCTGATATGTGCTTTTAAAAAAAAAGCATTTTGACATGTGTATTGATTTGTTGTAAAAACAAACTTTATAAAATGAATGAATATATAATGACTAGGAAAAATTATGATTTTTTTCTAGTTCAATTTTTTATGGGTTAGAGGGTTATACACTGTAATGTATTTACTACTGGAGAACAGCGACACTTTGACTTTTCGTACCGGTTTGAGTTTTTAAAACTGAACTGTAGACATTTGGGTTTTTACAGCTGACTTGAAGTTTGCCCTGACTGCTGAGACAAAGGCCTGGATGGTTGTCATTGGACGCCACTGTAACAAAAAATACCGGAGTGAGATGGAAAACATTTTTATGCTTATTGAAGAATTCAATAAGAAACTAAATCGTCCAATTAAGGACCTAGACGATATTCGGATTGCAATGGCAGCACTGAAAGAAATAAGGGAGCAGCAAATCTTCATTGATTTTCAAGTAGGACCTATTGAGGTAACTAATGATCATTTGTTCACTATGGAAATATTCTACATGTTCGATGCTATTAGCTGAGATATTGACTGGGTCTGGAGTGAAGTTACTAAATGGTTGCTAAACTGAGACAATACTTTCAATATTGTTGATGATACCGAACCCCTATAGCATGCCTTCCATGGACCAGTTCTTGCCTTCACATGTCAGCTAAGGTCCTTCAAAGCAGAGCCTGAGATAAAGATTTTTGTGCAAGCGATTTATTGATGAGTGTTCACTAAAGAAGGGGAGCGAGGGAATCAGGAAAGGAAGCCAATCAGCTATGGACTAACTTGAGAATGATCCCATGGGCGCTCTACAACATCTATTGAGTTGGGCCCTCCTTCATGCAAAGGAGACTACCCTTTGTACTCCTAAGTCAGTGGCAAATTGGCTATAACCTCTCCATGAGAAGGCTCACATTCAGCTGAGGAAAATCTTCCGGGGAAGCGGACAGCTGCAGTCCTGATAGCCAGCATTCTCAGTAGTTGGGGATGGGAATACCAGCTGGTAACCAGGAACTGGATGGGGCACTAACAGTGTCCATATATGCATTAACTCATTTCAGCCTTACTATGGCTCCTACTCACATAAGGACACTGAGGGTCAAAGAAGTTACATAATTTGATCAGTGTTGCACATCACTTTTATTTGTATACCATATCATACTATCTTTTCCAGATGAAAATGTCTTTTTTTTGCAGTGAAGTCTGCTTTTATTGACTTATTAATTATAATATTATCAACATACATAGTGTAATGTAAGCAGTGGCAAAAAAGACAGTTAATTGCTTTACAAGCAGACATCCTTAAATAGATTCACTTGAGTAAACATCATCTCTTTCTAAGGAGTCTCCTTAAATCTCATGTTAAGCCACCAGCAAAATCACTCTTAGCAACAACCTTTTTTTAAAAAAACAAAACAAAACTATTTTTTCCCTAATTAAAAAATAGCATTGCAGAAAAATCAGAAGACACAAAACAAAAGTATAAAATAAAATTTCAAAATTACCATAATCTTATCAATCAAGTACATACCAAGGTGTTGGTATATTTCTTTCCAGCTTCTTTTCATGTCTGTGTATGTGTGTGCAATTTTGAAGTCCATTTTTTATTCATCTTGTAATACTTATATTATTAGAGATGACATAAGAGTGTGAATTATTAATATCATTAATAACTTTTCATAATCAGAATTGATAGTACATGTCTTTAAATCGTATTTGCCACTTGTGATTGTTGGCAAAGACCCAAGAGTGGAGACATTAAGGAAAAGAACTTCTCAGCCATGGTGGCTCTGTGGGGTTGGGGGGCGGTGTTAACCTCCAGCTGAAAATGTCTTATCAGAAATGGGTCACTATATTTGTTATTTTTAAATGAGACTAGTATAATTGTAGAATTTAAAAATCTCCAGTTGTAAAAGCATCATCTTTTCATCACACCATAATTGGAATGTCTGTACTTATACTCCGATGGTCCAGATCAGACTGTAGTCTCCCATTTTCTGCATCCCTGTTTGAATTTTGAAAAATTTCACATTACCCTGAAAATGGTACACACTGCTACACATTTTCACTTCTGCTGTGCTGGGCCAGGGCGATCACATGGTCCATCCTGCTCTCCTTGGATTGAAACATCAAGGCATAGAGACCTTTCTTTGTGCAGGATCAGGCGAGACCCTTGGGTATGAAGAGGAGGTACAGTAACTGGCAATCCTGTTTTCTCCCACCTGGGAATTAAGAATGAAAGTAGAATCAAGTAGACAAGATCAAAACATCACCTTTATACCTAATGGAAGTTATTTGGAAGACATAATTTAGTGTATTACTCCAGTTATTCCCCTCCCTTCCATACCCCCAAACACACACACGTTATAAGATAGTGAATACTAAATTCCACGATTATTATACATCCTCATCCATCAGAGACAGTGTTGGAAAGCTGTAGGTCTTTGTATAGCCCTGATCCAGTTTATGGAACTGAGGTGCAGACCACAGGCATGCCTCCACGGAGAGGGAGGGAAGAGAGAGAAAGGCACGGGGCTATGCTTGCTCAAATCAACAATTCTTTTTGCCTCAAATTGACCATCAGGCCCTCATTCCACCTCTATGGGGAGGAGTAACGGTGGGAGAAGAGACTAGGGATATTTAGAGAAAATTCTTTCTTCTGAAAACCAACCTTAGCCTCATTTTAATCTTTAAGCGAAGAAAGCCATCCAGGATTTTACATGCTGAAGGCTCTGATTCAAGAACCCTCCCTTGTGTCTTACTATTGGAACCTCTTATCAATCATGTGAAATCAGGCAGAGTTAAAACCCTGATTTATTTTGTTATTCCAATATTAGAAGTTAAATTATTTTGTTTTTCATTTACTTGCTATAATTTTGTAGTCGTCCAATACAATTTGGGGACCTAAGTCAAAATATCTTTTATGTGTCTAATGGTTTATCGTTTTCAAAAAGCATTTAAAATGATATTTTTAAATACTCTCAAAGATCCTCTGAAGCAGTCAGAAGATTTTCCCATTTTATAGATGAGGAAACTAAAGCTGAACGGCTCAGTTGCTCAGTTAACCTCTTGCAGTTTAAGGTAGAGTAACTAGAACTCTCACGGTGGTTTCACTATTATTCTGGTATTTTCCATTCTTATCATTTAATAAATGACTGTGTGTACATTTATGCATCTGACTGGCCAAAATTAAGTTTTTCTTCTTCTTCTTTTTTTTTTTAAGGAATCTTATGCCCTGCTTAACAGATACAGACTTCTAATAGCAAGGGACGAGATGGACAAAGTTGATACACTGCACTATGCTTGGGAGAAGCTGCTGACACGTGCTGGTGAAGTCCAGAATGAATTAGTGTCACTGCAGCCCAGTTTCAAGAAAGAGCTTATTAGTGCTGTGGAGGTATTCCTTCAAGATTGTCACCAGTTTTATCTGGACTATGATTTGGTATGTCTCTGGCTTTCTCTGTGTGCATTTTTGGGGATGAGTGAATAGAGCATGTGAAATGTAGTTGTCTAAAAATTATGGGTAAAACTCTATGAAACTTCCTAGGAATTCCAAAGGAATGGGAATTTTATTTGCATGAGAGAGAAAAACATTTTCTTTTCACAATCCTTTCCCCTTAGAGTTTGTATTAGTCTGTTTTCACACTGCTGTAAAGAACTGCTCGAGACTGGGTAATTTATAAAGGAGAGGTTTAATTGACTCACAGTTCTGCATGGCTGAGGAGGCTTCAGGAAACTTACAATCATGGCAAAAGGTGAAGGGGAAGCAAGACACATTCTTCACAAGACAACAGGAAGGAGAATGCCGAGTGAAGGGGGAGGAGCCCCTTATAAAACCATCGGATCTCATGAGAACCCACTCACTAGCAAGAGAACAGCATGGGAAAAACCGCTCCCATGGTTCAGTTACCTCCACCTAGTCTCTCCCTTGAGACGTGGGGATTATGGAGATTATGGGGATTACAATTCAAGATGAGACTTGGGTTGGGACACAAAGCCTAACCAAATCAGAGTTCATACATAATAATTTCAACAGAAAATGATAAATTTAAAAGTGCAAACACTGTATAATTTGGTCTGTTACTGAAGTTGTTTGGTAGCATTCTAAATTTGTGTAGAAAAGTACTATTCACATGTAGTTATAATTGTCCTCCTTTCCACAGCGTTCCTTGGTTCCACAAATAATATAGAGCCCAGCAAGTGCTGGGCCCTGTCCTTGGTGCTGACTACACAGTAGTGGATAAGACAGATCGAGCCCCGCCCCCATGGAGTCCATATTTTATTTACCCATATATGTTTAAGTACTGAATCTTCTAATGTAAATATGTTGTGTAACGAGACCCATCTCTAGGCAATTATAATGCGCTACAGAAGGGAAATTATTATATAGAGTTTAGGGTAAAATTTGTACCAATTAACTAGTAGCACAATAAACCACAAAATTAATAAAGTTAGAAGATTGGACCCATGTACCAACTCCATGGATGGAGAAGCACAGAAATCCACGTATTTAAGGTTTTCTAATGTAGGAGACTCTGATTGGAATGTTAAGATTATGGGCCACTTTACAAGTGTGTATTAGAATGATAAAAATCTATGAGTTATATGATAGCATTTAGCTCAAAAGCAGACTTTATATGTGCTTCTTTATAGAATAGGCATTGACTCCTGTTTGCCTATGTTACCTAAGAAATGAGTAATACATATTTTTAATCTTAAGTTTCTTGACTAAGGTAAGTTCTGGCATTAATTTGCCTTTTTTAGACTGGAAAAATATTTCCAAATAAATCACTTTGTAAGGCTCTTTTTTTTCTAACAAATAAAAACTAAGTTTCCTATCATGGATGAAACCTAACTTTAATATTTAAATACTTTGAGTTCATGAAATTTATATGCAAACACTTCATTCTATTTTTTTTTAACTTTTTGTTCAGAATGGTCCAATGGCTAGCGGCTTGAAGCCCCAGGAAGCCAGTGACAGGCTTGTTATGTTTCAGGTAATCTTTTTAGTTTCTATGACTTTCTAAACAATGAAACCTTGTTGTGTTTTAAACACACTTATATTTTCTTCTTTGTAAGATAGAGAGCGCTATTGTGGAATATGGTATGTACTTGCATTAAAAATATGATTTTATAGGATTACAATTAGAAGTGGTTTCTATGAATTAATTATGCCAACTTAGTATTCCTATTTACATGTGCCCAGATATCACACATCTCTGGCTTGCTTGTTTGCCAGTCTTATATTTTCATTTGCATGTTTGTTCATGTATAAATCATTTTGATGAATTTTCACTTGTGTTTTTATTAGAACCAATTTGATAATATCTATCGGAAATACATCACATATACTGGAGGAGAGGAGCTTTTTGGCCTGCCAGTTACACAGTATCCTCAGCTTCTTGAAATAAAGAAGCAACTAAATCTTCTACAGAAAATATACACTCTGTACAACAGTGTCATGGAAACTGTAAATAGCTATTATGATATTCTTTGGTCAGAGGTGAATATTGAAAAAATCAACAATGAACTATTGGAATTCCAGAACAGGTAAGAAATTAAATGTTTAGCATGCCCAGCAATTGAACTTCAAATGCTTTCTTCTTTGATAGGCAGCCAAGTTCTCTTTTCACCCCAGCTATTTCAAAAGCACATCTTGCTGCATTGTTGTTGTCCATTGACATCACTCTTGTCAAATATTATTCATTAATTACTCCTGTGCATAGACAATGAGACAAGCACATTCTGTCTATCAGGATGAATCATGTTAGGGGCTTTTCTGCAGCTTGGTGGGAGCTGATTTTTATTTATATTGCACTTAGGAAACGTTTGAAGTTAATGTTAGATTATCATCTGGAACAAAAGCAGGGGCCCATGATTTTTCTGTATTGTTGTAGCTGTTGAAGCCAAAGAAAATGGAGACCTGGCTGGGTGCGGTGGCCCATGCCAGTAATCCCAGCACTTTTGGAGGCCAAGATGGGCAGATCATGAGGTCAGGAGATTGAGACCATCCTGGCCAACGTGGTGAAACCCATCTCTATTAAAAATACAAAAATTAGCTGGGCATGGTGGCATGTACCTGTAATCCCAGCTACTTGGGAGCCTGAGGCAGGAGAATCACTTGAACCTGGGAGGTGGAGGTTTCAGTGAGCCAAGATCGCACCACTGCACTCCACCCTGGAGATAGCGCTAGACTCTGTCTCAGAAAAAAAAAAAAGAAAAAAAAAAAAAGGAGAGCTATTTGTTGTGTATTTCACTTGACAGCCTGATACACTATGCTATGCTTTGTGCTTAGTAAGTTCTCAGTACGTGTTTGTAGAATTGAATTAGCTTGAACAGCACCTCTACCCTCTAAAATAATGCCTCTAACTAGGTAATAGTTGTGAAGGATTGGAAAAAGTCTTTTCTAACGGGGAGGACAATTTTCTGTAATATAAAAGTCATCTTTATATTATATTAGCAGATAGCCTGCAAGTCATGGGTTTTAAAAATAGGATAGGTATTCAAAGAGGCTGTTTTAGAAATACTAGCAGACCGTCTTCGTCCAGTGCTGTCTACGATCATATTTCAATGGCCTTTCATGTTGGTTTCCCGTCACAGGTGTCGGAAGCTGCCCCGGGCCTTGAAGGACTGGCAGGCTTTTTTGGACCTGAAGAAGATCATTGATGATTTCAGCGAGTGTTGCCCGCTGCTGGAATACATGGCCAGTAAAGCCATGATGGAGCGGCACTGGGAAAGGATAACCACCCTCACCGGGCACAGTCTGGATGTGGGGAATGAAAGTTTTAAGTTAAGAAATATCATGGAGGCACCTCTTCTGAAATACAAAGAGGAAATAGAGGTACAGTTGACAGAGAGCATGGTGTGGTGGAAGATTGCAAGGTCTCATGGGATTGATGTGATAACATTTCTATGTTACGGAATATTGAATCAGTAAACTACACTCAGACAATTGAAACTCTTCTCCTGGTATTCAGCCACTAGTTCCTTCAACAAATGTTTATTGTGCCTAAGATGGGACAGGTTTGGCATCAGGATATAACAATGCAGTCCTACATTTGCAGATTATTAAATAATTATACAAATAAAGGCATAGTTATAAGCTGTGGCAAATACCATTGAATAAAATGTATGCTGTTCTATGAAAGCCTATGATAGATGAGTTTGGCTCACCTGGGGGTGATAAAGCTAGGGAGGGCTGGGATGCATGCATAGGACTGGCTGGGTGAAGGGAGTATGGTTGTGTGATTGGGGTGAGGGGTTGGAAAGTGCAAAGAAGGCCATTCCAGGCAGATCGTGCATTATGCATGGAGCCTCTGAAGTGTGTTTGAGGAACCAGAAGAAGGCCCATGTGGCGGGGGTGCGGAGGCAGGGCAGAGAGGAGACAGCAGAGGCCAGGGAGGTGGAGTGGGCCTACCTGATGTTATCGGGCAGTGGGCACCATCTGGGAGATGTGTTTTCAGCAGGGGCTGACATGGTTAGGTTGGCCGTTTGTAAGGATCACTGGTAGTGATCTTTGGAGAAAGAATTGAAGGAGAACAAGGGAAGAATGATGGAAAAACCAACTGAGAGTTTCTAAGAGTAGCTCAGGCAAGAAATAATGGCTGTTAGATGAGAGGGGAAGTAGTAAAGCTAGAAAGGAGAGAAAGGATCAACGGATATTTGAAGAAAATTTGGTGATGAAGGGAACATGATAGGAGAAGGAAGGGGTAGGCTAAAGATGAACTCTAGATTTTTCTTTTTTGCTGAGAGAACTAAGTGGATGAAGGTGCTGACCATGGAGATGGGGAACATGGGAAGGGGGTCAGATTGGGTGACAAGGTGCAAAGATCATGGGCTTGATTAGGGACATGAGTCTGATATTTCACAGATTGTGTTTGGGGTTTCCTTGAAACATCTCAGCAGGGAAGTTCAGTAGGCAAATGGATGTGGGTCTTGCCTGGAGATATGAAAGTGATTGAATTCATAGGTGTAAATGAGCTCACACAGAGGGGAACAGAGTGTGGGAAGAAGTGAGGGTAAAGGAAGGGCTTGACTAATGGTCTAGGAGAATGGTGAGGCTGCAGAGGAGACTGGGAAAGTGACCAGAGCCATGGGAGAAATCAGGTTTCTGCTACCTGTGTTCATTCACACGCTGCATTCATTTAACTTTAGAGGTAAATCAGAAATACATTGAATTTTGAGTCAGTGGTTAAAGTTCCAAAATTTAAAAGTGATTTCCATATATTTTCTGTCATCTTTCTTCCTGGACAAGTTTGCTGGGAAATTTTATAAATTAAAGTTCTGTTTTTCAGTCATATCTTTATCTCCATCTCTCCTCATGCATCAGTATCTGCATATACACATTCTATTTATTATATTGCATTTTAGGTCTGGAAATACAAAAGTTTACAGATATATATATGAAGCAAATAGTGAAGATAGGGTCTTTCACCTGGACTGTTAAGGAAGGACATGTGACTTTCATGCAATAACATGAGAGCTTGCCATTTTGATAGGACATCTGTATCAGTGCGGTGAAAGAGAGAGACATTGAGCAAAAGCTGAAGCAAGTGATCAATGAATGGGACAATAAAACATTCACCTTCGGCAGCTTTAAAACCCGTGGAGAGCTCCTCTTGCGAGGAGACAGTACCTCGGAAATCATCGCCAACATGGAGGACAGCTTGATGTTGCTGGGTTCCCTACTGAGCAACAGGTGGGAAACACTTCTATCTTTTCCCTTAGATTTGAGAACCATGATAGCAAACATTTCAAATTAATGAAAAATCCATTACAATAATAGCCTTCATACAGTCTACTCAATGTTGAAAATACTTGTTTTCATTAAATCGATTAATTAATTTTTATATCCAAAACATGTTTTTATTCAGGCACCCACTTATAGATACATAATCAAGAGATTATATTTCAATTATTCTTGGTTTCATTTTGGCCTCAGTCACTTGTTACAGCATGTGTAACTCTGGTTTTATTTCATTATCCTCTATTTGCGGGATATGTCTGAGACCATCCACTGGACAAAATAATGCAACGTTATCATTAGCTACTCAGATTTTGGGGACATTTCAGCTTTTCTGCTGACAAGCCTGACTGCACAGCTCACAGCTCTATAGGCTGTAGAATCTAGAAGGAACATTATTTTGAATTCCAGAATAATCATTTTCCTCGAAAAACCTTTTTTGCCAATATCTGTGGACTAGAAACTCTTAGTTGTTTACATACTTTATTTTTTATATTTGTACAAATTCATGGGGTACATGTGAATTTTGTTTTTTTTTTTGAGACGGATTCTTGCTCTGTCACCCAGGCTGGAGTGCAATGCCGCGATCTCAGCTTACTGCAACTTCAGCCTCCTGGGTTCAAGTGATTCTGCCTCAGCTTCTTGAGTACTGGGATTACAGGCAACAGCCACCATGCCTGGCTAATTTTTGCACTTTTAGTAGAGACAGGGTTTCACCATGTTGGCCAGGCTGGTCTCAAACTCCTGGTCTCAGGTGATCTGCCCGCCTTGGCCTCCCAAAGTCCTGGGATTACAGGCATGAGCCACCGCATCCGTCCACATGTGAACTTTTGTTACGTGTGTATAATGCGTAGTGGCCACCCCTCACATTTTGGACATACAAACCATACAGTCATGAATTTACATTTCCTTGTTTCATTGCTTCCATTTGCTCTTTCTGAAATAATGTTTTTGTTCCCCAGAATATTCTCAAATATATGGTAATTGTGCAGAATGTGGATACCATTGAGATACAAATTTGTTGTTCTATTCTCACTTTAAAATATCACCCAATTCTCTGTATATTTGTGTCAATACTTTTAATGTTGGAAATACCATGTACTTCATGCTATTTCAAAAAATTTCTCTTATTTCAGTTTACTTATTACACTAAAGTAATATGGGGATATAAAGTTAGACCATTAGTGATCTTGAGTTTGGACTTCTCAGAATTGGTGAGTTTTAATGAACTTGGTTACTATTCATACCAAACCAGAATAAAGGATAGACAGACAATAATATACCCTAGGGAGATAGAAAAGATACGCATATAAATATAAATTAAGTAAAAATTATCTGGTTGGGCTGGGGAAACTTTTCTTATCAATGGCATCTAATCTACAGATAGAGTTATTGGGAGGAATATTTTTTCAATATATACTTATTGAACCTTTGCTATGTGAGCAATGTACTCTTCTAGGTGCTGTGGATAGAACAACAAATAAAGATCTCTGTTTCTATGGACCTATATTCTAGTGAAGAGCACACAAATATTCAGAAAGATGCGTGGAATATTAAAACAATTTGGTTAACAATTAAGAATACGGAAATTAAACTTTATGCAATAATACGACTTCAAGTCCATATTATGTAGGGCTAGAGAGAGCCATGAAGGGATAAGAAAGAGAAGAAGAAACATAAAGATAGGCTGTACAATCATTTAGGATTAAGTTTGTCTGTAAAAACAGAAACACCACGTACAAAATGGCTAACATAACACTGATCCTTATATTGCTCACGTGTAAAAGAATTCTTAACGTAGATGGTTCAGGTTGGAATGGGGACTTCACCACATCATCAGGGACCCAAGTCTGGTCTGGCTCACTCATCTGTCTTTCCCAGGTGTGACCTTATTCCCCATGCTACCCATTACATCCAATGCCGCTACTCAACATTTCATGTAGAACTGCAACATGCCAGATACACCGAAGGAACTTAAAAAAAAAATCCCAATGCCAGGGCCATGTCCCAGACTCATTGAATCAGAGTCTCTGTAGGTAGGACCCAGGCAGGCATCAGTAATTTTTAATGCTGGCGAGATGATTCCAGTGTTCAGCTAAATTAAGCACTGTTGATGTGGAACTTAGTCTTCTGACTGCACATTACTGCAAAGGGAAGCCGGGAAATTCAGTAATTTAGCTGGGTAGTTATGAGCCCACATGGAAAAGCAGAAGGAGAAAAGGACATTGGGAGGCTACCCGCAGGCAGTCTGTCTTAAAGACGAAAAGGGGAAGACAGATTAACTATGGAAGAGGCAGTAACCTTGCACACACGTACATCAAACGTGAGTGGGTTGGACACAGGTACGTGGGAAGTTAGGAAGAGACTCAGAAAAGGGGAGGCTAATGAGAGAGTCCGGGTGTTATCATATTTGAAGATTGAATTAGTTGTCTGGTCCCCACTGATGATTCTATAAAGGCTCCATATTATATGAAAAACCAGAGACTCCATGAAATAGGCACAGAAGTTCAGTAGAGCAAATGTGATTCTCACAGCCGTAGCAGCACTGAGGACAATTATATCACCCTGGAAGCTTGGTGGAATCAAGTCTAATGCCTGACCTACTCCTTAGATTACAAATCTCCCACCCTTCTCTACACTCTGGATCGAAAGGGAAAAAGCTAGACTAACAATGCACAATAAATGGGGATGAATTAATCACTTGGTTGCATCACTTTAAAAGCCAGCAACATAATGAAGGTTGTAAAGAAAGAGGTTAAAAATTAATACTTTAAAAACCTTTTTAGTTTGAAAACCACAGCACAACCAAAACCAACACCAAATCCTAAACCTATTTCTTATTTTAGGTACAATATGCCATTCAAAGCCCAGATTCAAAAATGGGTGCAGTACCTTTCCAACTCAACAGACATCATCGAGAGCTGGATGACAGTGCAAAACCTGTGGATTTATTTAGAAGCCGTCTTTGTGGGAGGAGACATTGCCAGGCAGTTGCCCAAGGTTTCCTAATCTTCTTTATGATTTCATCATATTTTTTCAGAGCAAGATCTCAGAACGAATACACCCTTAAATAATGCAATAATATTCCACTTCCATTGAACCCCTTCCTTCAATATTTTGTTGTCACTGTTAATACTGTGATTCTGCAACAGGAGTGAGGAATTGTGGAAAGGAAAGGGGTGACAATCAGAGTAAGAATGCTGCAAAACTGTGGAGGTTTGATAGATAATAGACCGTTAAAAAACAAAGAATAAGTGGTTGCATAATTGATATGCTTCTTTAGATAATTTCAAGGTAGAATTTGAAACTGTAGAATTATGGTGCAGTTATCTTGACAATGGTAGGCTAATTTGTTCTACTACTGACATTTTAAAGTAATCCGTACTATACAATGTACCCAATTATATCTGTACAGTACACTTGAGGGGTGGAAATTTGCAGAAAAAATCCCCAAAACAAAAAGACCTTCTTTTAGAGATGTCGACTATATATTTATCATCAAATCATAACCTTCTTACTAGGTATATATGGAATATATTTTGAGATTTTTAAATGAACACTGTAACCAATTCTTAAGGATTCTTATTCAATTACCTTAAGCTGTATGCAAGATTATAACATTTTAACAATATATTTGAGTTTTAGAAGCATGATTATATTAAATGTTTTCATGACATAGGTTTCCGAACTTCTTTGGTTAGTTTTCAGTTTAATTACAGATGACAGATCAAATTAGACTGCAGACCATTTATTTTGGAGGCAGTAGTGAAATGTATTCACTCACTAAATTTTACTTTATTTTTGATTTGTATTTGTGCATGTTTTTTATCTTCTTTTTTTTTTTTTAAAGGTTTTAAGTAGGAGGTTTGGATTTTTTTTTTTTTTTAAATTATACTTTAAGTTCTGGGATACATGTGCAGAACGTGCAGGTTTGTCACATAGGTATACATGCGCCATGGTGGTTTGCTGCACCCAGCAACCCGTCATCTACATTAGGTATTTCTCTTAATGCTATCCCTACCTTTTCCCCACATCCCCTGACAGGCCCCAGTGTGTGATGTTCCCCTCCCTGTGCCCATATGTTCTCGTTGTTTAATTCCCACTTATCAGTGAGAACATGTGATATTTGGTTTTCTGTTCCTGTGCTAGCTTGCTGAGAATGATGGTTTCCAGCTGCATCCATGTCACTGCAAAGTACATGGACTCCTTTTTTATAGCTGCATAGTATTCCATGGTGTATATGTGCTACATTTTCTTTATCCAGTATAACATTGGTGGGCATTTGGGTTGGTTCCAAGTCTTTCCTTTTGTGAACAGTGCTGCAATAAACATACGTGTGCATGTGTCTTTATAGTAGATTGATTTATAACCCTTTGGGTATATACCCAGTAATGGGATTGCTGGGTCAAGTGGTATTTCTAGTTCTAGCTCCTTGAGGAATTGCCACACTGTTTTGGCTTTTGTTGCAATTGCTTTTGGTGTTTTAGTCATGAAGTCTTTGCCCATTTCTATATCCTGACTGGTATTGCCTAGGTTATCTTCTAGGGTTTTTATGGTTTTAGGTCTTATGTTTAGATCTTTAATCCATCGTGAGTTAATTTTTGTATAAGGTGTAAGGAAGGAGTCCAGTTTCAGTTTTCTGCATATGGCTAGCCAGTTTTCCCAACATCATTTAATATATAGGGAATCCTTTCCCCATTGCTTGTTTTGTTGGGTTTGTCAAAGATCAGATGGTTGTAGATGTGTGGTGTTATTTCTGAGGCTTCTGTTCTGTTCCCTTGGTCTATATGTCTGTTTTGGTACCAGTACCATGCTGTTTTGGTTACTGTAGCCTTGAAGTTTAGTTGGAAGTCAGATAGCATGATGCCTCCAGCTTTGTTCTTTTTGCTTAGGATTGTCTTGGCTATATGGGTTCTTTTTTGGTTCCATATGAAATTTAAAGTAGTTTCTTTTCTAATTATTTGAAGGAAGTCAATGATAGCTTGATGGGAATAGCGTTGAATCTATAAATTACTTTGGACAGTATAGCCATTTTTATGATATTGATTCTTCCTATCCATGAGCATGGAATGTTCTTCCATGTATTTGTGTCCTCTGTTATTCCCTTGAGCAGTGGTTTGTAGTTCTCCTTGAAGAGGTCCTTCACATCCCTTATAAGTTGTATTCCTAGGTATTTTATTCTCTTTGTAGCGATTGTGAATGGGAGTTCACTCATGATTTGGCTCTCTGTTTATCTATTATTGGTGTATAGGAATGCTTGTGATTTTTGCACATTGATTTTGTATCATGAGACTTTGCTGAAGTTGCTCATCAGCTTTAGGAGTTTTTGGGCTGAGACGATGGGGTTTTCTAAATATACAATCATGTCATCTGCAAAAAGAGATAATTTGACTTCTTTTTTTCCTATTTGAATACCTTTATTTCTTTCTCTTGCCTGATTGCCCTGGCCAGAACTTCCAATACTGTGTTGAATAGGAGTGGTGAGAGAGGGCATCCTTGTCATGTGCCAGTGTTCAAAATGCTTCTGGCTGTTGCCTATTCAGGTATGATATTGGCTATGGATTTGTCATAAATAGCTCTTATTATTTTGAGATATGTTCCATCAATACCTAGTTTATTGAGAGTTTTTAGCATGAAGGGGTGTTCAATTTTATCGAAGGCCTTCTCTGTATCTATTGAGATAATCATGTGTTTTTTTCATTGGTTCTGTTTATGTGATGGACTATGTTTATTGATTTACATATGTTGAACCAGCCTTGCATCCCAGGGATGAAGTTGACTTCATCGTGGTGGATAAGCTTTTCAATGTGCTTTTTGATTCAGTTTGCCTGTATTCTATTGAGGATTTTTGCATTGATGTTCATCAGAGATGTTGGCCTGAAATTTTCTTTTTTTATTGTGTCTCTGCCAGGTTTTGGTATCAGGATGATGCTGGCCTCATAAAATGAGTTAGGGAGGAGTCCCTCTTTTTCTATTGTTTGGAGTAGTTCTAAGAGGAATGGTACCAGCTGCTCTTTGAACCTCTGGTAGAATTTCTAGAAGAAACTTATCCATTTCTTCTAGATTTTTCTAGTTTATTTGCGTAGAGGTGTTTATAGTATTCTCTGATGGTAGTTTGTATTTCTGTGGAATCAGTGGTGATATCCCCTTTATCATTTTTTATTGTGTCTATTTGATTCTTCTCCCTTTTCTTCTTTAGTAGTCTGGTTAGCAGTCTATCTGTTTTGTTGATCTTTTCAAAAAACCGGCTCCTGAATTCATTGATTTTTTTGAAGGGTTTTGCATGTCTCTATCTCCTTCAGTTCTGCTCTGATGTTAGTTATTTCTTGTCTTCTGCTAGCTTTTGGATTTGTTTGCTCTTCATTCTCTAGTTCTTTTAATTGTGATGTTAACGTGTCGATTTTAAATCTTTCCCACTTTCTCCTGTGGGCATTTAGTACTATAAATTTCCCTCTAAACAGTACTTTAGCTGTGTCCCAGAATTCTCATATGCTGTGTCTTTGTTCTCATTGGTTTCAAAGAACTTATTTATTTCTTCCTTAATTTCGTTATTTACCCAGTAGTCATTCAGGAGCAGGTTGTTCAGTTTCCATGTAGTTGTGCGATTTTGAGTGAGTTTCTTAATCCTGAGTTCTAACTTGATTGCACTGTGGTCTGAGACTGTTTTCTATGATTTCTGTTCTTTTGCATTTGCTGAGGAGTGTTTTACTTTCAATTATGTGGTCGATATAAGAATAAGTATGATGCAGTGTTGAGAAGAATGTATATTCTGTTGATTTGGGGTAGAGAATTCTGTAGATGTCTATTAGGTCCGCTTGGTCCAGAGCTGAGTTCAAGTCCTGAATATCCTTGTTAATTATCTCATTCATCTGTCTAATATTGAGAGTGTGGTGTTAAAGTCTCCCACTGTTGAAGAGTATGGGTATTAAAATGTAAGATTTATGATGAAAATCTAAGTGGAGTGGCTCTTGTTAGTTTACTTTTCATATTGAGTGATGCATGAGGTAGGCGTTCAGAGTAATATTCTGCATCATAGTGAGAGAGAAGCATTTTTAATTTTACTTAAAAGTAAATTAAATGTAATTAAATTACTAGTGAATCATTTTACAAATTGTACTTGTATGCTATAAAATACAGTACATTTGAAAATTTTTAGACTATGTGTAAGCTTAATTTTGTAATTAAATATTTCTTTAACATATTAAAAAAAGACTCCTACTATTATTGTGTGAGATTCTAAGTCTCTTTGTAGGTCTCTAAGAACTTGCTTTATGAACCTGGGTGCTCCTGTATCAGGTGCATATATATTTAGGATAGTTAGTTCTTCTCATTGCATTGATCCCTTTACCATTATGTAATGCCCTTCTTTGTCTTTTTTGATCTTTGTTGGTTTAAAGTCTGTTTTATCAGAGAGTAGGATTGCAACCCCTGCTTTTTTTTTTGCTTTCCGTTTGCTTGGTAAATATTCTTCCATCCCTTTATTCTGAGCCTATGTGTGTCTTTGCATGTGAGATGGGTCTTCTCAGTATAGCACACTGATTAATCTTGACTCTATTAAATTTGCCAGTCTGTGTCTTTTAATTGGGGCATTTAGCCCATTTACATTTAAGGTTAATTTGCCAGTCTGTGTCTTTTAATTGGGGCATTTAGCCCATTTACATTTAAGGTTAATATTGTTATGTATGAATTTGATCCTGTCATTATGATGCTAGCTAGTTATTTTGTCCATTAGTTGATGCAGTTTCTTCATAATATCAATGGTCTTTACATTTTGGTTTGTTTTTGCAGTGGCTGATACTGGTTTTTCCTTTCCATATTTAGTGCTTCCTTCAGGAGCTCTTGTAGGGCAGGCCTATTGGCGACAAAATCCCTCATCACTTGCTTGTCTGTAAAGGATTTTATTTCTCCTTCGCTTATGAAGCTTAGTTTGGTTGGATATGAAATTGTGGGTTGAAAATTCTTTTAAGAATGTTGAATATTGGTCCCCATTCTCTTATGGCTTGTAGGGTTTTTGCAGAGAGATCTGCTGTTAATCTGATGGGCTTCCCTTTGTGGGTAACCCGACCTTTCTTTCTGGCTGCCTTTAACATTTTTTCCTTCATTTCAACCTTGGTGAATCTGACGATTATGTGTTTTGGGGTGGCTTTTCTTGAGGAGAATCTTCTTGGTGTTCTCTGCATTTCCTGAATTTGAATGTTGGCCTGTCTTGCTAGGTTGAGGACGTTCTCCTGGATAATATCCTGAAGAGTGTTTTTTAACGTAGATCCATTCTCCCCATCACTTTTAAGTACACCAATCAAACGTAGGTTTGATCTTTTCACATAGTCTCATATTTCTAGGAGGCTTTGTTCATTCCTTTTCATTATTATTTCTCTAATCTTGTCTCCACGCTTTATTTCCTTACGTTGATCTTCAGTCTCTGATATCCTTTCTTCTGCTTGATTGATTTGGGTATTGATACTTGTGTATGCGTCACAAAGTTCTTGTGCTGTGTTTTTCAGCTCCATCAGGTCGTTTATATTCTTCTCTAAATTGGTTATTCTAGTTAGCAATTTCTCTAACTTTTATAAAGGTTCTTAGCTTCCTTATGTTGGGTTAGAACATGCTCTTTTAGCTCGGAGGAGTTTGTTATCATCCACCTTCTGAAGCCTACTTCTGTCAATTCGTCAAACTCATTCTCTGTCCAGTTTTGTTCCCTTGCTGGTGAGGAGTTGTTTTCCTTTGGAGGAGAAGAGGCATTCTGGTTTTGGAATTTTCAGCCTTTTTGTGCTGGTTTTTCCTCATCTTCGTGGATTTATCTACCATTGGTTTTTGCTGTTGGTGACCTTCAGATGGAGTGTTTGTTTGGTTGTCCTTTTTGTTGATGTTGATGTTACTGCTTCCTGTTCATTAGTTTTTCTTCTAACAGACAGGCCCCTCTTCTCCAGGTCTTCTGGAGTTTGCTGGGGGTCCAATCCAGACCCTGTTTGCCTGGGCATCACCAGCAGAGGCTGCAGAACAGCAAAGATTGCTGCCTGCTCCTTCCTCTGGAAGCTTTGTCTGAGAGGGACACCTGCCAGATGCCAGCCAAAGCTCTCGTGTATGAGATGTCTGTTGGCCCCTGCTGGGAAGTGTCTCCCTGTCAGGAAGCATGGGGTCAGGGGCCCACTTGAGGAGGCAGTCTGTCCCTTAGCAGAGCTCGAGCCCTGTGCTGGGAGATCTGCTGCTCTCTTCAGAGCTGGCAGGCAGGAACGTTTAAGTTTTCTGTAGCTGCACCCCACAGCTGCCCCTTCCCCCAGTTGTTCTGTCCCAGGAAGATGAGAGTTTTATCTATAAGCACCTGACTGGGGTTGCTGCATTTTTTTCAGAGATGCCCTGCACAGAGAGCAGGAATCTAGAGAGGCAGTCTGGCTACGGCAGCTGTGTGGTGTTGTGGTGGGCTCTGCCCAGTCTGAACTTCTTTGTGACTTTGTTTATACTGTGAGGGAAAACTACCTACTCAAGCCTCAGTAGTGGTGGACCCCCGTACCCCCACCAAGCTCGAGCATTCCAGGTTGACTTCAGACTGCTGTGCTGTCAGTGAGAATTTCAAGCCAGTGGATCTTATCTTGCTGGGTTCCGTGGGGATGGCATCCACTGAGCAAGACTTGGCTCCCTGGCTTCAGCCCCCTTTCCAGGGGAGTGAACAGTTCTGCCTCACTGACGTTTCAGGTGCCACTGGGGTATGAAAAAAATGGCTGGGTGTGATGGCTCACACCTGTAATCCCAGCACTTTGGGAGGCCAAGGCAGGTGGATTACCTGAGGTCGGGAGTTCGAGACCAGCCTGGCCAACGTGGAGAAACTCCGTCTCTACTAAAAATACATAATTAGCTGGGCGTGGTGGCACATGCCTGTAATCCCAGCTACTTGGGAGGTTGAGGCATGAGAATCGCTTGAACCCAGGAGGCGGAGGTTGCAGTGAGCCGAGATTGCACCATTGCACTCCAGCCTGGGCAAAAAGAGCAAAACTCCGTGTAAAAAAAAAATAAACAAAAAACAAAACTGCAGCTAGCTCAGTGTCTGCCCAAATGGCCACTCAGTTTTGTGCTTGAAACCCAGGGCCCTTGTGGTGTAGGCACCTGAGGGAATCTCCTGGTCTGTGGATTGTGAAGGCCATGGGAAAAGCGTAGTAACTGGGCTGGATAGCAGTGTCCCTCATGGCATGGTACCTCATGGTTTTCCTTGGCTAGGGTGGGGAGTTCCCCAAACCCTTGCACTTCCTGGGTGAGGCAATGCCCCACCCTGCTTCTTCTTGCCCTCCGTGGGCTGCATCCACTATTTAACCAGTCCCGATGAGATGAGCCAGGTGCCTCAGTTGGAAATGCAGAAATCACCTGCCTTCTGCGTTGATCTCGCTGGGAGCTGCAGAGTGGAGCTATTCCTATTTGGCCATCATGCCCAGGATTCCCATGTTTTTCTTTTTAATGAGTGAAGAA